GTTGATTACTGACAGAAAGTCTATTCACTTGTAATTAAGAACATCTTTTTAGGAGTTGGTAGGTCCAAGTATATTGTTCATGCAACTTACTAGAAAGTTGTGCCATAGTAACGGTGAGCAACATAATCTATGAACTTAAATTACCATTACATTAATTAAAGTGGAATGAATGAAATCCATTTGGGTTTGTGTTCTGTTTTTATTTCTGAATTAAGCAGGGTTCAATTTGTATGCTGCCCTACAAATCAGATTAAATTCCTATTTTTATAACAAAATAATTCTTAATTCTTTAAAAACACCATTAACAAGGTATATGATAATCCTATTTTCAAAACTCTGTGTTCAATATATCTTTTCCCATTAGTATATAAAAAAGGGCGGAAACTGTCATGCAAATATTCTGAACAGTGTGACAATATTCAGTAAAACCATTAAACACGTGAACCCTTCATTAATCATTTTGGCTTTCCTTTTAGTAGCATACAAGTCAGGGTCTAACCTCAGTTCCCCAGCAGTACATTAAATTTCTTGTTTGAAAACCTCCAAAAGCACCATGCCAGGGATACTCTATTTCCACTTCAAGTCACATATTAGTGCTATATGATCAGAAGGATGTGAAACACTTGGCAAAGCCTGATGGGTTGTTACTTCTTCATGACTTGGCAATGGAATAACTTGTTCAACCTCTAAAGCATTTCTGTCAATGAAAATGTAGTCCAGACATCCATGAAACCCACCGACATAGTTTGTATATGCAGGTTCTCCACAAGCACTTAGCAGTTTGAAAGGATGGCTTAGAGACATACTGCACCTTTCTTCCTCCCCATTTGAGACCCAGTCTTCATGATCTTCAGCAATGCCACCACTGCTGATAAAACTGTAAGTTCCTGACGAGGGTGTGCTATTAAAATCTCCACAGAATATGACTGGGATACTGGGATACAAGTCACATGCTACGTGCTTGATGTGAGACATGGCCACAGCAATTTGGATCAGACGGATGTTCCCACCTAAAGACATAAAAAGTATTATTTCAAATAATGCAGAACAGCACTGGAGATGCTCACTGGCTTGCTCATTTAAGCATATATAGCTCTGAAACAGCAACCCTGTGTTTTAGAATAGTTTTCACTAATTAAGAAGCCTTTAAAATTTGTGACTATGAATTTTTTTTAGTCACAAGGCAATTTCAAATTAAACCTGCACATGCAAGAACTCTGAAGCTTTAACACCCATATACAGCAGTTTTCCATTTCATGGCAACCATCCTAACAATATTCCCAAAAAGGCACAGAACCAAAAGAAAACTAATTGAGAAGAGAAGAATCTCTCCTAACAGCTTCTGGAGCTCAATCTGATTGCCCTCCTGGTAGCACCCTGGGAGAGCTCCATGTTCAACAGGCCTGGGAAACCATAAGCACACACAATGTTTTATGGTCTGCTTTTTGGGTGAATTGTGTGTAATGCGACTTGCCTTGCTGTCAGCTGGATTCTGTTGACTCCCTGGCACACTAGAAAAATAAATCTATAAACCGAGGAGTCTGGCTTGATTTCATCTAGATAAGAAGTAAGGCAGGAAATCCTCAGTTCCAGAAGAAAAGGCTATAGCTACAAAAGAATTATGGGAAATATATTCTCCCAAATAAGAGCAAAAATCTTTCCAAACCCAGTTATCCTACATGCAGGAGTGTGCCAAAATTACCTTTGGGGTGCCAGTATAGGTGGGTATTTGCTACACAAAGCTTCCTGGAAGGATCAGTTGTAGACTGAAGAACTGAAACCTTTAAGAAAAAAAAGCAGTCTTTTGTTAAGTCTTAAATATAGGTTATATATATTTTAAAATGCACTAGTCAGCTTATGCCTTTGTGGCAATCCAGTTCAAAGAATCTGATGCTTATAAACTATAAACACAACTTAGGAGCTGTACTTTTCATTAATCTTGTATGTAAGGCTTGGGTATCAGCCAAAATATTACCACTACATCATTTAACAAGTATTCTTTTGACTGTGTCTGGTTTGGCCATATTTTTTCATAAGATATAGTTCAGACAGTACCATTCTGAAATATTTTTATTTTGTATTCACTTTCTGTAACAAAACTGGAGCTAAACTTTGTTTTTAGTAGGCAAATGTAGAATTCCATAATTGTTAAATTGAACAAAAATTTGGAGGTGATTTCAGTTATCAAGGAAATCCTGTTAGTCCTACTCAGTCCATGAGCAGGAAACTTTTACCAGTGTTTCTGCAATTCCTGACACAGCCTTCTATCTTATGCACTTGTACTTGCACAACAGCTCTGTGAACAAACCCTCTAGCATCAGGAAGCTCACACACCTGTCCAACCTTATTTGTCTCCCTCTGTCACTTGCTAAAGAATTGCATTACAACTGCATTATACAGCATACTCAACTAACTTACTTAAAACTGATTTATAAGATGTAAGTTTTATAGACTATATTCTGACATACAAAAGTAAGTAATAAAAAATCACCAGCCAGGAATCACTACCTGGCCCAGAATCTCAACAACTGTCTTCATTTTAAAGCAAAGTAATTTTGCTTTTACCGAATTTTGGTAGTTCCATATATGCAGTTCAGTAAGATCTCAATGTTTTGTTCTTGTTCCTAAGTTGATCTTCTGCTCTATCCATTACCCCAGCTAACAGAGACCATAGTTCCATGTTTCAAACTTTTAATCCTTCACCTCCCTTCTGCTGCTTGAGGCTCAACAACGCTGGCCTGGCTGCACTTGGAGACAGTGGGAGGAGGAGAAAGTGGGATAAAAGAGGGGAAAGAGAAGAAGGCATGTCAAAGCTGGTACCTGCAGCACAGATGACCTCTGCAGCACCTTCTCCTGCACCAGGGGGTACTTGGCCAGCTGCTCACACAGCTCCTTGTGCAGCGGCTCTGAGAGCAGGGCTTCGCTGAAAGCGATATCATGCTGGCTGAGGAGACTGAACTTGTCCCTGCGATAGAAAGTGGCCAGGCCTTCGTGCTGCTTCTCCTTAATCTTGAACAGCCCCTCCAGTCCAAAAGCATCTAGCGCCGGGGCCAAGCTGTCCACGAAGACAGATTTATCCACCTCTTGCAAGCAGATGAGGTCGGCGCTGTAGCCCGCCAGCTCCTTCTTGAGCAGGTTCTGCCGGTAGTCGATCTCCAGGGCGTAGGGAGCACAGTAGGGGTAGAGCACAGTGCGGGAGAACTCCGTCTGCGCGTAGGTATCGGCCAGGATGTTGTAGGAGACGGCGCGGACGGAGCTGTAGCCGCAAACCTTCTTGGTGTAGAGGTGCCGGGCGTCGAAGGTGCAGGCGCCGGGCCCGGCCTCCACGGGGCCGCTGCTTTCCACCTCGCGGGCCGGGCCGTAGCGCTGCTCCCTGTCCCCAGGCGTGCAGCGCAGCTTCAGCCGCAGCCCCACCAGCGCGTTCGACGGCGTGAACACGCGTTCGGCCGCCGCCGTTTCCACCCAGGCCTCCCCGGCCGCGTCCCCGCCGCCCGCGGGGCGCTGCTCGCGGAACCAGCGGAACAGGCAGTGCTGCGGCTCGGCGAACTCGGCGCTCACCTTGGGGCACACAGGGAAGCCGGCGAGGAGCGAGCGCGGCAGGCGGAGCTCGGTGAGCGCGGGCGGGTTGCGCTCCACGCGGTACCGCGCGTCCCCGATGTGCAGCACGGCGCCGTCCTGCCAGGCAGCCGCGTTCGGCACCTCCTCCGCCACCGCCGCGCCCTCGCGGGAGAACAGCCGCACGGCCGGCACCGCCGCCTCGCCCTCCGCGCCGCCCTCCGCCCGCGCCTTCTTGCTCTTCTTGCCGGCCTTACCGTGGCTCTTAGCGGCGTTGGTAGCGATGCGCGCCAGTGCCCGCCCCAGCGGCTCCGCCTGGTCGCGCTGCATGTGCCGAGCACTGCCGTCGGGCAGTACGAACCGCAGGCTCAGCTTGGGCTCGGACGGCACGCAGCGCACCACGGCGCGCTCCATGACGGCGGGCGGGCGGCCGCCACCGCCGTGCGGGGGTGCGGCGGGTGAGCCGCGGAGGCTCCGGAGGGCGGAGCGGAGCCAACGCCACATGGACCCGGCGGCGCCGCGGCTTCCGCGGGGCGCGGCCGGAAGCGCCGGGCGGGGCGGGGCTGGAACCGCCGGGCGGGGCGGGGCTGCCGTGCTGGCAGCGCGCGCCAAGGGGCGGGGCCGCGTGGGAGGCGGGAAGGGGGCGGGCACGCGCCGCTGGCCGTGAGGCAGCGCCACCTCCCGGTGGCCCGTGCCCCGCTGCGGGCTGTCCGCGCCCCGAGCCCCGCTCCCCGCGCCCCACCGTTAACCGGTCGGCACGGCCTGGGTCAGGCCGACCGGACAGCCAGCGGGTTCTGTTCCCTCAGCGGCGAAATCCCCTCTCCTCAGCGCAGCTTCCTGGCCAACAGGTGTTCGAGGCGTGGGCGGGTCTCCCTCGTAACGCCTCGATGCTAATTGCCTTTACATAAATCCTTTAACGCCAAGGGTTTGGGTTTGTGTTTGTGAGAAAACATTTCATATTTGGGTTGAGACCTCACGCTGAATAGTCCCGGGCAGTGAGAGCCACGCTAGGAAGGTGCCCAGGACTTTGGAAAACAGACAAAATTCCCTCCCGCTGCTCCCACACCCTCTGCGCGTGGGGCTCTGCCCACACACATAAAAAATTAGGGCTTGAAAGCCTCTTTTGTCAGGTGTGGGCAGGTGGGTAGCAAATCTGTGGAGGTCCTTAAAATTTCCATTTATAGTTGTACAAGAAACAGAAGCTCAGCAACAGCCACCTGATGCTCGAGGGTATTATATTTATAATTCCTCAAACATTCTTGCTGTGATCTGCTCGGTGCGGGCAGAGGCTGGAGCAGGAGGACTTTCTGATTCACTCGGGTTGTGCCAGCCCTGTGGCAGACCGGACGGTCAAGGGAAGGTTTTTCCAAGTTCCCTTTCCCTTTCTCTTTCCTCTCCTCATGAGAGGCACTGATCTCGGCCAGGGGGAGCCCCGAGCACCCTGCATGGGCCGGGCCCCGCCGCCCGCCCTCGGCTCCGGGGCAACCGCGCTGTTGTCCCGAGCCGGGGCCGCGGCGCTGGGAGAGGTGGGAGCGACGGGAAAAGGCGGTGTTGTCCCGGCCGTCCGGAGCTGAGCTTTGTGTCCTTAGGTGCATCCACCACCGCCTGGTTTGGTGCGTGTTTAGGACTTACCACTGATTTAGGATGTATCTCTGGCTTTCTGCTCCGCTGTAGAAATGCAGTGGTGAGTTTGTGCGTCGTGTTTCTGGGGGAACCCGACCGTCAATCTTCGGAATAGCCCTACTCAGGCAATTAAGCAGCTATAGAAGGTTGGTCTTTGAGTTGAACTTTAGCCCAGTCGCAAAATACAAATTTGTTTGGGCATTTTTTCTTTTTTTTTCTTTTTTCTTTTTCTTTTTGTTTTTGGTTTTTTTTTCTCCTTATGGCAGGCTCTGTATGTACATGCTTTCCCTTGAGCTTTACCCTCATTTTAAGCCTTATGTACATTCAACTTAATAGATGCATGTGTTAAGCTCCTTTCTGGACAGGATTGTATGCTAGAATTTTAGTTTTGTTATGGTTTTAGATGGAGCACTCAGATGAAGCAACTTCCAATAAACGGACTTTGAGAACTTTGTTTCGTCCAGCTACTTTACCTCCACCAGTCATATCTGAAACGTCACCATCACAGAGGAAACTATTGGCATACCATAGAGGAAAGGAGCAGCAAGGGATGATTAATCAGTTACTGTGAGTTACATGTAATTCAAGACATGTTGAAATTCAAGTGAAAGAATCATTATGCATTAGACATTTGACAAATAATGGTGTTTGTTTAATTATAGTGAAATTTAGTGATTAAGGAGTTAGTAATGACGAAAAAATAGGTTGCATCAATTAAAGTGTTAGCATTATTTTTAATATATTATTTCCAGTTTTTCTGCACTTCTGATGTTGTGGTTTACTTTAGAATTGATCGAGCTCTCAAAGTCTATTACATAACCATGGATGAAACAGATCAGAGAGATGCTGCACCTCCTATCAAAGAACTGCCTTCCACTAGGAAGAAAGTGAGAAAGTATTTCTTTATTAAGTCTTGCATATTTAGTTCTTTGTTTATTGGGACATTTATTTTCCTTCTTAGAATTTACTTCAATATACTTGTTTTGCTCCTCAGTAATTCATAAATGTATTTATATATTCAGGCAATCCAATTGAAATGTTTACCTGTATATATACAGAACAAAGTCTCTGTTTAGGAATAATATTTGCTAAATTTTATATTTCCAGTATTTTGTTTTTATGTTCTTCATGTATAATTTTCTGTTTCTTTTTATACAGATGGATGATGAAGAAAGCCAAAAAAGAGTGAGTTAAATTCTTTCATTTGCTTTTTTTTTGGAGTAGAAGAGTGAATGGCCCCTATTCTTGAGTATGTTATGCAGAATTATTATCAAACAAGAAAAAGTAGTCTTGGTGGGGGAAAATGGAATAGGAGCAAAATAGGAATCTTGTCTTTTGGTCTTGTAGAGGGAAAGTATTTTTCTGTTTTAGAAAATGCATCTATCAGTAATTAATTTAACCTTAATTAAAGTTCATTACTTAGGAAAAAAATGCTAACAGGCCTTAGGATTTTTTCAGTTGAGTCATAGATTGTACCTTAGCCTGTACAAAAAGTAGTCTTTCACATTGTTCCCTTAATTTGAAGAACATGCACTAAACTTCAAATTTGTGTATAGCTTTTAAAGTAAGACTTCATCTCTGAGAGACAGTTAAAACTCAAATTAGTATTGAAATATTTATATCAATTAGCCTAAGGTAACACCAATTAGCTGTTGTTAGGTAAACTCATTCTGTAGACTGTAGAGATTTTATAACAAAACTATCAATCAAAAGCAGAAATTCCTATTTCCTTGGCCAAGACCCGCTCCCCTTATGGAGAATGTTTGTCCACGCTTTTTGTCAGACAAATGTTCATCCAGAGAACAAAAACCTTGACCTTGAACTATTTTATTGTTAGCCATAAACTTCAGCAGAGAACAAAGGAAAATGCCATACCGACAAGTACAATATTTTATGTTTAAACATTAAGACAGAGAGACCATGTTACCAACCACAGAACAGCTTTTAGGGTATTAGTCAGTGAATACTGAAAAGATTGGAATAAATACCCTGCCCTTAACAAATAAAAAAAATTGAAGTTAAGGAATTTTGAATAAAAAGAGACTTGTTGCCAAGCCTAACACAAAAATACATACATAGGTAATTAGACTTGTGAAAATCTTGTCCTTTCAGGCAGAATACCTCTTTTTGAAGAAATGTGTGCAGAGTAATCCAGTGGTTCCCATCCAACGGCAGTGGCTGAGGTCCATGCTCACCATGGTGCCACAGTCGCTTATGGAGGGCAGAGATAAAGAGCTGCTCACTGAAGACCTTTTAAAGGAGGTAGTAAGGGATTATGAAATGAGCATGCAAAGATGTGTGTGTAAGTACTACAAATTACTCAGCACTTATATTAATGTTAATATATATATTATAAGCTCCATATTCTCCTGCTGAAAATGTTCTGGTTTGTTCTTTCAGCCAGGCGGGATCTTTGTAATTAACTACTGATTTAGCTTTTCCTGCTCATCAAATGTGTGTTGGCCATAAAGTTTAAGGCAAAACATGCTTATTTTATTTGAACCAGTAAAAAGTTAACCAGCTGAAAGTACAGTTCAAGCAGACAAATACAGCTGCAGGCCTTATGTCAAAAAGGTTGATTGGTGCTGATGCTATTTCATTGTATCTTTAACCTATTTAGTTAATTTGAAGCAAGAATGTATTGCTCTTTACTGTTGAAGAAAGGAGAAACTTTTTATGTACTATTCATTCTTTCTCACTCTTCAGGAATAGCAGCTTTTTTAAGCTGTTTATTCAAAAACACATTCAGGAGTTTTCTGATGGTGCTTTTGTTGCATGAGGAAGCTCACAATAAAAATCTGCCAAGATAATTACTGTTTTCAGATATCACTCATACAACTCACTTCAATTTTAAAACCTTTTAAAAAGAATCATGAACTGGAATTTTGAAAGTGTTTTCCCTATAAATAATTTATTAATTTATTTATATTTGTAGTAACTGGAATCTGAAATCGAGCCCAGTTTTGTTACTATTTAATGAATGGCTGATACTTTTTAAAATGTAGATTAAGAAATAAACAATTTAACATTAGGCTAATTTCTTCGTAATGTCATCAGTGGCATAATTATAGTATCTCACTGTAATTATGTAGTTATGTAACGAAGTTGCCATCAATTCTTGCAATCACAGAATATATCAAATTGGAAGGGGTCCATAAGGATCAGAGCCCAACTCCTTGCTCCTTGCAGGGCTATTTAAAACTCAACCATACAGCTGAGAGCACTGTCCAGATGCTCCTTGCACTCTGGCAGGATTGGTGCCAAGACCAGTTCCCTGGGGAGCTTGTTCCTGTGACCGAACATCCCCTCAGCAAAGAAACTGCATAAATATTTAATTATTTAAACACAAACCCAACTGAAAACCTTCAGGAACAGGAGCCAGAACTGGAATTAAGGCATCTGAATCTGTATAAAAATTTAGCAGAAGCTGTTGATTTTGAGCTACCTTTGGGAGAACGTGTTTTGTAGACTAGGGTGACACAGTTACTTTTTCATCCTACTATGTGCTTGGTTCAAGGAAGTACAATGACTATTGAATATGGCCTAATTTTCTTCTAATTTTCATGTATTTTTTTTCTTAGTGAGAAGAGCTCTTGTTAAACCAGACATAAAAGAACTTGATAAGTTGGAAGATGAGGCACCTTTGCCTTTATTACCTCTGTGAGTGGATTAAATTAGCAAATAACCAACCGGCAAGACACACAGTTACATGAGGGACATCCTTGTTGAGCTGTGTGGACAGAGTTATGGCACAAGATGAATTCTGGGGCCACTTACTGGGATATTTTTCAATCTCTGTAGAAGGTCTTGCATTTGAACATCTCTTATTTGAATGCTCTTCAAAGTTTTAGCACTGACAGTGTTTTATTACTGTTGTTACATTTATATAGAGCAGCACTCATGAATTAAACCTGGCTCTGTGTACCCAAAGTCACAGTGCAGCCCCCTCTGGAATGAACTGTGTGTGTATGGGGCAGTTTTCTGGCACATAGCAGCATTGTACAGTACTTTGACATCCTAAATCTTTATATAATGCTAAGGTTTTAGGCAATTTTGGTTTTATGAGATGAAGTCTTGAAACTGAAGGCAAAATTACTATGCCCTCCCATCATGGAAAAGGAGTTCAGGTAGACAGAATATAAATACCCAAATTGCACCATTTGCTGATGCATCAGAGTGTGTGCTATCCAAATCTGTTGATAAATGCTTCCTGATAGTAGTTGGTGAAGTTAGGAATTTACATTGAATGGGCTTCTCTAAGAGGAGGTGATTTGAAAGTACCATAGAGGATAAAGTATGTTTTATCAGACAGAGTATCTTTATGACTTCCACTGCATGGCAGTGAGGACATGTGTGTGACAATAACTACTCACACTAGAGAATGATCTTTTGAATACTGCCTTTTATATATGAGTACTTTATTCAAGTAGTGCTTCAGCTCTTAATTTTTGTTTGTTTATATGTTTTGTTTGGGTTTTTTATGGTTTTTCTTTTTTAGAGGCTTGGATTTTTCTAGTACATGGCATAACAGTTATATCAAAGCAAAAAAAGAAATCATGTCCAACTTACATATTCTTCACCCCACAATGAAAACTCTACTGGATTTTGGTTATACAGCATTCTTTAACTTTCTTGTAGTGGATTTCTCTAGTTCCAGGTAAAGTCTGTTCTGCTGAATTATTGACACATATAGATTTTTGAAGCTGGCAAAGATGATCTTGCTCAATTCTATTATTTATCATAGAAAATTTTTGATGCACCATTTTAATGTAACGTGATTAAGTTACTCTGTGTTATGACCATGTGACTTTTCTTCTCTCTGTTATGTATTTTATTGTTGTTCAAGTTGTTGGTATTATCTGACCTTTAGGTTTGTATTTTGCCTTTAATTCTGTAAAGTTCTCCCCGTTATTCACTTTTTCTTAATGCTTAATTCCCATAGAAATCTGTTTAAAGTAGTATCTGAAAAATCAACTTCTAGTAGTATTATCATCTGTAGGGAATTCTATGCTAACCCTGAAGATCAGCCTTCTTGCTGGTTTTCATCAGTTGAACTTTCTGTTTAATCTTGGAACTTTAATTTTTCATAGTTTTCAAAAAGATGATTTTCAAAATATTTTTCCTCATTATTTTCTCTGGTAATTGTTCTGCAAATCCTGGAGTTTGAGGCAGACCTTTTCTTTCCTTTTAGTCTCCTGAAGCAATGCGTAAGTTCCTACTGTGCTTTCTGCTAGAGAAAGACTAGGTTTATAATATAGGGGTTTGTATTGCCACCTTACTCCATGTTTGGTTTGTTTAAATTTTGTTTATAAAGTTGCCTGTACCTTTCTTTTCTAGATTGAAAGGATCAGTTGACTGTAGATCTTTTAAAACTGATGCATCTCTAAGCTGTTCTAAAGCAGAAGATGAGATAATGCGTACATGGTACCAAAGAGTTTTCAGCCACTTTACGCAGTCAGAGGCCTTGGATGGTGTACAGTTGGATCAGCTTGAGTCTTTTTGTAACTGTGTGGCTGTGCTTATGTCTAATCAGGTAAATATCTTTCCTCCCTGTGATAAACTTAATGGGATTAAAACATTACCTGCTTTGTAGAAGAATAATGGAACAATAACCTAATCAAATCATTGTATTTGGAAAAAAAATAGAGGAAAATGCTTTCAAGATATTTCACTTCTACATACATGTGTTAGTAATTGGCTTACTTTTGTAGCACAAATAAATGCATGGACTTTACTGAAATGATTACTTGTTATTAGTTTTCATCATTTAAGGGCTGGGACTAATATCCACTGGAGTTATTAGAAAAATTCACACTGCTTCAGTTATCCATGAATCAGGCCAGAAGTACTAAAATTAATGGAACTCCTGGCTTATTGAATGAATGGAAAATGGGTGGAGCCTTTTTTATGTCAACTAATAGGTGGTCTGTGTTATTATCTAGGTGAAAGAATTACTGCAAAGATCGACTGAAGTTTTTGTGAAACTTTTTGATCCTGACGACAGAAGTAATCTGCCTTTATTTAAGATGGACTTGACTTTCGATGAAAATAGAATGGAGTTTTATCCAGGCTTAGAAGACCTAGAAGAAGCAATTTTGTTTGTAGTAGATTGTATAGGACAGACTCTTCAGGTGTGCTTTTGTCTTTATTTAAATATGTAATTGTTAAGATGCTCAGTATGTGGAAATACTTGTGATTTAGGAGTCTGACTACCCTGGCAATGGGATCAGAATGCAACTTGTATTGATTTTTCACAATCATTCTACAGGTCACATTATGAATCTTGATGCCCAATGGCCCTCCAGGCTCTGAAGCAATTTTGTAATTCCTTGTTTATAAAAGATTGGTGCACCTACTATTGATTATTTTAGTCTGCTCTTTGAGTCTGCAATTATAATAATAGCATCTTTAATTATATGTGTGATGATTAACAATAAGTTTGCATTAAATTGAAGATCTCCAAAGAAAGACAAGGAAAATTAGAGTTGATATTCCTTTTCTTTTTAAGAAAAAGAAAATACTCAAATCTCTAAAAACTAATATATACAACATCAAAAGATTGATGTCTTGGTAACCTGTCTGTGGTGCCAGGGAAGAGACCCTTTCTGGGGGCTTTAGATGTGAAGTGAATATTGGTCACTAGTCACATGTGATGGTACTTTCAGAGAAGTCTTTTGGGGTTGATTTTTCTGTATTTGCATATATGATATAATTTAATTTTATTCAAGGTTGGATTATTTTTTTCTTTTACATATTTCCTGTTCAACTTTTTGCTTCAGGAAAAGTCATTCTACATGTGTATAAGGCATGTGAACTTGGTCAGGGTCTCATACTTTTATGATTGTGCTTTCTGCAGATTGCAACTTACTTTTAAAGTATATGTATCCTTGCACTGTTTTTTAAAATTTAAATAATCACTTTTATTTATTTAAATTTATTTAAAATTTAAATAAATTGCTCTACTCTTAGAACATCCAAACGGTGCATGCTTGGCTAACGGGAGGCACTGGAACCCTGGATGCTGAGCTTCCTGCTCACACCGTACAATGGGCCAAATCCACTCTGAAAAAATCTATTGGATACAACTTAGAAGGCCCAAAGGAACATTTTAAAAGCTATGGTAAGTGATAGAAGAGTATGTAAATAGCTGTGTCATCTCTTTGTAATAAGTAACTTGCTGTATGGCATATGCATTTTAATAATATGAATATGTTGTAATTGAATTATAGTTGAAAGTTATGGCTGGCTTGTGGATGGAACTGCAGAGAAACGGATAAACAGATTTATGGCAGAACAACCCAGTTTTGATGAGTACACTACTGTAAGTTTTAATTCTACACTTTATAAATAATTTTTACTATGCATACAGCACAAATGAAAACATAACAGAGGATAACAGGTGCTTAGCCTTTAGCTAAAAATATATGGGCTACCTACAATGTAACAGATTTTTCCCCTAAAAATTTATGGTAAATAGAAGAAAATATTACTTATTTTCTTCAATGTCTAATATTTACTCATGTAGCCAAGTATTTAAATAATAACTCTGAGATGTAAAATCTAACGTTTTTCTGAAGTTCATAGATGAATTTTTCACCCTCAAGAAGGAAATCATGAGTTTGCCAGAGGTGATTTATTTCCCTATGATCTGTTTGAATTGTGAGGATTTAAAGCAAGGTTTGGCTGATTGTGCAAACAACTTGGCAAAAATGCTAATGGACAAAATATTTACAGATTACAGAGAGGAAAATGAAAGGTAAGTAGAATTTTTCTGCTTGTGAATGCTCTATGTGTTAAATGCATAATAGAAAGATGTAGAAGAAATGCAAATATACCATACATCAGTTTACTGAAGGTTCTTGGCTAACTAATGATGTAATGCAGTTTGTACCAGCTGTAGTATTTATTCTGCTGTTTTAGTCTCAAAAATAGGTAGGAAAACATTAATATGTACAGACTTGGATGATGGAGGAGCTAGAAGATCAAAGATCCATGAACTTTATTACTGTTCTGGATTTTTATGTGTGAATTACATTATTACTGCACTGTCAAAGGCTAGTTAGACTCTTTTATTACCTGATAGATACATCAGCAGGGCTGCTCTCAATCTATTCCTCCCCATTTGTATTTGTGCTGGGTGTTACTCCATCCTGGGTGCATAATCGGACATTTGAACTCATTACCTTTCATCCCCTTAATCATAGTCAAATGTTTAATTCTGCAGTGTCCCATCCTTTAAGGGAGTCAGCAGCACCTCACAGTTGTATGATGAGCAAACTTGCTGATGGTGCATTCAACTCTTGCATCCAAATCATTGATAAATATATTGAACAGAGCTGGCCCAGAGCTGGATTGTGAGGAACACTGCTGGTGACAGTTGCCAGCCATTTGCTACAATGCCCTTTGAGCTCTGCCCTTCTCCAGTTCTTCACCCAGCAAACCATGAACACATCTAGAAGGCTGTAAAGCCTTATTAAAACTGAGAAAAATTATATCCTCCGCCTTCCCTTTGTCCTCTACATGGGTGAACTTAAAGGATATCAATTTAGTTAAATAGAAGGTTAATTTGCAGGTATGGATTAAGTAATGAGGAAAGTCTTACTACATTTTTTAGTTAAAATGAACAATTAGGGCCAAGTTTTATAGTGATTCCACATTACCAGAGTGAGACAATATTTACTAGGAAAATGTTTGTGTGTACACTAATGAGTTTGCTGAAGTTCTTTTAGTAACAACAGGTTACTAAAGCATTTATTTCAGAAGAATACCCCAAAATCCAAACAAAGCAATTATTACAAGTCAGAAACCAATATTTGTCTAGACTGACTTGGTTGTATTCCCCTTCTAGTTTCATAGATAATGAGGGGAGACTACTTAAAAGAAGTAATTTGAATTTTTAATTACATCAAAGCTGAGGTTGAAGCCAAACTAAAATCTTAATATGTTGGTATTTTATGTAAAATAAAACTATAGGATATGCAGCGAATTTGAAGCCATTAAGGAATGTGCACTGAAAGTTCCCGAGTCAACAGAAGAAATGGTAGAAATAATGAATTACATAAAGAGAGTCAAAACCAAAGATATGCAGGACCTGGTGCAAAGGAGCAAGGTAAAATAGTATCCTTTAATTATTGATCTTTTATTAGACATTTGTGAAAATGTAACAAGTATAAAGTACATTTTATATAAAAACAGTCTGTTTGAACACACAAGAAACAGTTTACTCTTTGAACAGAATATAGTTGCTGTTACATTAGGAGTAGTTTGTGTGTGTGTGTGTGAATATGTATCAGATTTTCTCCTATGGCAATAGCTCTATAAATATAACATGTTATGTTTATATCTGCAGAAGTTATATTTTGTATATTTTTAATAACATTAGGATTTCTGCATTTAGACTTACAGAACACAGGAGTCATATTTAGAGAAACAAGCTCATGATCAGTTCAGGGACTTGAAAAATGTTACACATGTATCTTAAATGTTAATATTCAATTGGCTGAAGGAGCTCTGAATTCTGAAAAGTTCATGAAATGTAGATTTTTATTTTATCTTTGTAGATAATATTGTCCTGCCCTATATTTGAAACAGACCTATCATGCCTAAAGTTTTGTGAAATCTCTCTTTGTAGGAGTGCTGTCGGCAAATGAGTTACTTGATAGATGTTTATCCGTTTGGTCCTGAAGACATTGAACTAAATTCAACAACTATATTATGGCCAAAGAAGATTAACCTCATTTTTAAAGAGCATGATATAGTAAGAGCATTTTCTTAGTTCATGGTATATTTTGACTTGTTAGACTTCTCACTTTACTTGAGCTATTTATTTCCTCAGCAGGCTAAATGTATATACACATACGAGCCATACCAATTTAGACATGCATGAATAATATATTTCCAGATTTTTGTAGCAAAAGTGGGCTTTTTGTGGCTAAATTTGAAAACTGTCACTGTAACTTAAAAGCTTCAGTAAGTCTTATTATCCTAATATGCTTGTGGTCAGTACTAGGTAATTCATAGGCAGATGAAAATACACCACATTGTTTTTGTCTAGTACTGAAAATATAACTGTTAGGCCTTTAATAAGACTGAGTGTCTGGACAGGAAGTCATTTAGTTAAAATGGTATTTTGTTCTGTCAATAAAATAACAGTGGGAACAAGGTTTCCTAGCAATCACTAATAGAAAATATGCAGCATCTCATTTTCTCTGTGTGACTGTAGATTACTTCCACCATCTGTATTCATCTTGCTTAGAGTGCTTTGTCTATGACACAGTAAGTCAAGCCTTTTAGTGTTCTCTTGCCTCTCTGTAGTAATTTAACATAGATTTAACAATTTCTTCTAAATTTTTAAAATAATTAATAATTAACATTTAAAAAATCAGTATCTTTAAAATATTACAGTTAAGGATTTCTCCTTTGCTAAGTTTTGTTTAAATACTAAGGCATATGTCCAAGTGTAATGAATATGCCTCTCACTGAAAAGATAGCTTGGGAGACTGATATGTCTGTAAAATACTTTGTTTGCATGTTATCCCCATGCAAGCAAAGTATTCTTTTAATCCCCAAAGATAAATCAGTAAAATTAATCTTCTGCTTCTATGCAGAGAGTCCATGATTCTTGTTCTAACTCCTTTTAATGGAAATGGTAGTACAGAGTGAATACTTAGTGAGAATTCCTCAGCAGCGGGACCCTGTAGCTAGCTGTCAAGTGACTTGCATTGTGCTAGAGGTTGAGGACAAGAAAAGTTTCACATCATCATTTCAATCAAAGTTTTCATGAATCTGTATATTTGCATTCTATACTCTCAGATATGAGTCTGTTTGTATTCTAATGCAAAAGGAAAATATTTGTTCCTCCTTTGGTGAAGTTCTGTTTATCTGCTTCACAAATTTTGCATGGCAGTGGGTGTACTTGTCCTTGTCTTAGGAGATCTCTTTTGTGATTGTTTTCGTTTGGCACCTTAAAACAAACCCTTGGGTGAGCAGACCCAGTGCTTTAAGGTGGTCTTACGTTCTGTAATTTCTGCCCTTTGCAGCCACAGGTATGTGTGGGATAACATTGGCTTTCAACAACTGTAGGTGTCCTTTTTGGCTGTCAAATACTGAATCCCAAAAATGAGAATATCTATTTTTTTTCTGTAATGCTTTACTTTCTCTTTTCTGATTCCTGAAGAAGGCCTTTATGGCAATCCTAACTTCTGTGATTGTTGAGATGAGGGTTCCATGTGAGCATACAGAGGTTGCACACATTGAAGTGGGGCATAGGAAAAGAAAATCAGTTGTTGCAAGGATAATCATTTATCTGTATTGTTAGTTTTCTGTCTGTTTGCACTAAATGTTTAGATGGTAGTATGTATGTTAATTGTTAATCATTGACACCTTTGCGTTGTGCTTTTTTGTCATGAAAAAAATAAATTCTTTTGTAGCTGATCGAACAGGCTAAAGCAAAAGGAGAACAAGAAGTGCAACAGAAATTTGATAACCTGCAGGTCGAAGTAGGGAGGCTTTATAATTCTGTGTCAGAATTAGAAGAATACTCAGAACTGGATTGCATGCAACAGGTTTGATCAATAGTATAAAATGGGTATAAATGTTTCATGTGTTTAACACACAGGCATTCCATCTTTTAGAAAAAAATTGTAATTAAAAGTAATTAGTTTAACAAATGTGAATTAAAACATTTATTATCCTCTTGCGGCAGTGAACAAGCTCAGTCCCCCTCCCATTTTTTTTATATTGGTAATTAGCATTGTATTTAAAGGAAAGTTTGCTATAAAGTTTTGCTTGAATTAACTAACAGATAACAATAACAGCAGTTCAGAAAGAGTGTGTGCATCCACGAAAATCATTCATTCATTCTCCCTCTTCACCACAAATCAATTAATGCAAAACAAGCACAGGTTTGATATTTTTTTCCTACAAACTTCAAAACTTCATTGTTATGCTAGTGAAGAGCAGACCACTGGCTCCAAAACCTTGTGCATTTCTAGCAGTATTTTTTAATTTTCAGAGCAGGTCTTGTACTTTAATTGGAAGAAATTGCATAGTAAGAAATTCTGTTTTTTAAAAAACAAAACACTTCAAAGCACAAAACATAAATCCTGAGCTAATAGATCCCAGTTACCAATATGATATGCCATGTATGTAAAAAAGTGTGTGCCTGCCTTCTGGAACAATGAGTTTTAAAGCACAAACATTTTGAAAATACTCAAATTCAGTAATGAGGTCCAATTCTAATTTTCATAATGTTCATCTGGGTTCTTCACAGTGTATGTACTCATCAATGAGCAGACAAGTTTTTAATCTTGTTTTCTAAAATTTTAATGTGAAAGGTTATATTTTGATATCTTATTTTGATAGCTGTTCAGAGCACAATTTGGTTATTTCTCAAGACATACTATTATTTGATTGCAGTATGTGACTGACCTGAGGACATTACAGAAAACAATTCAGGACACTGATGAAACAGTAGCTGCTCTTAATAAAGAAGAGACTCTGCTCGGATGGAAACCAAGTGAATTCCCACTCCTCAACAACTTAAAAACTGAGATAGAACCATACCAGAAACTCTTTAATCTTATACTGAAATGGCAGCGAACAGAAAGAAGGTAATTCAGCTCTAAATGCTGTAAGAGGAAGAGTGAGATAAATGCTTATCTTGGTCTTGTTCATGTCAGATGTAGAACATGGATTTGTTTTCTTGTTAACATGTGTTATTAGGAAGCAAAGTAAAAGGGTAGTATAACATACATACCAGGCTTGCTATTTTTAATTCAGCTAGAAAAAATATAATAAATTTGTTTTTATTTTTAAAATATAATCATAGAATCATAGAATCATCAGACTTCCTAAGCTGGAAGGAACCCACAGAGAACATGAAGTCCAAGTCCCGGTGTTGCATAGGACAGCCCCAAGAATCACACCATGTGCCTGAGAGCAGAGGAGCATATCCCAGACTGGGTTCTAATTGTATTGGTCATGCTGGTGTAGCCTGTAATAAGACAAGCTCTGTGAAAGAAATGTATTGAAAAGAAAAATTGTGTTATGAGTAATTTTTTGTTCCAGAAAAGGAAGAAGTTCAACTAGATAGCTCATCATCTGTATGTAATCAAAACTGGTTTTAACCTAGCAGCTGTCCAAAATGGTGGGTTCAAATGATTGCGTTGCTGTCTGGTGGTTAGTTAGATCCTACCACAAAAACTGTATTCTGTGTATAAATTAACGGAGATTATTTATCATTTTATGCATTCTTCGGAAGTTATAATGTGCTGTGGCTGAAAGTGTGGAGGGTTTGAAAATATAATACCTAGTGTATTTTTAAGTGTCATATGTTGATCTCCATCTAGAGTTTAACTTAAGTATTTGTCTGTTCATGCAGTTACTCCATTTCAGTATGTGAGTGACTCAAGAGAATTACAGAAATACACAGAAGAATGTGGTTGAGCCACTTTTAGTTGGGCATAAAAATTTTGCAAAGAATAACATTATGGAAGAAGAGCTTTGCTTTGATTTAAATAGCTATTCATGTGTTGCAAATGTATTTGTGGTCTGTTTTGTAACTTTATTTTTTTTTCAGATGGATGGATGGGACCTTTTTGGAACTAAATGGAGAAATCATGGAGGTTGAGATTGATGAATTTTATAGAGAGATGTACAAAATGTTAAGACTCTTCCAACAAAAGCAAAAGAAAGACCTGGACAAGAAAAAGACAGTGCGACACAAAGGTGTAAGGGGTAATCCAACTCTTACAATGTGTTCTTCAGTTCTGGAACAGATTAAAGAATTTAAGGTAAGAAAATGTGAGGGATATTAATATCTGATGCTCAGGAACAAATGCTAAATTCAGGGCTCAGTACAAGTAGATGACGCAGTGTAAGAGATTGAGAGTGAGGCTGTTCTGAATCCCCATTTCCAGACTGTACTGTCCCATTCATTTTAGTAAAATGGGATTAATTTTTTTTTTTACAGTTTCTGGAATTGTAATGAGTGAACACATACAGGAGAAAAGTAATTTTTGGATGCAGAAAAACATTTAAGGATGTATCTGGGAGTTTTGAAATGGGACTCTTATGTTAACAGAAGCAAAATTTAGCATCACTGAAAAACTATGCTTAATAGTTTTTTTATATTTATTTTTCAGTAGTTGATATAATTATTTAGAAGTGAATACCTGAATGGAGCCATTGCACTTCTTGGAAAAGATTTTAATGTCTTTGGCTACTGTAGCAAAATTTTAAATGCACCTGAAAGATTATTAAAAAATTAAGAAATAATGTGTATGACAATATTTACCTTATAAATGTTTTTTTCTGAATTAGGAGAATATTCCCACTGTGGCTGTCTTTTGTAACCCTGGCATGAGAGAACGTCACTGGCAGCAGATGTCAGATATAGTAGGATATGATATAACACCAGATGCTGGAACTACCCTGAGAAAAGTTTTAAAGCAGAATCTATCTGCTTACTTGGAACAGTTTACCACAATAAGTGTAGGTGCAAGCAAGGTAAGCACAGAGATTTGATAGTCACAAATATGACATCAGGTCTTTTAGTGAATACCTTTATGACTTATTAGCATTAGTCTTTGCCATTATGCAACAGAAGAGATTTGGTGAGACTTTGGCCCATTATACATTAGTGATGAGTGTTGGTATTTGTATCTCATGTGACATCACCAATATTTCCCAAGTGTGCTGCTTTCTGTGTGCAAGAAAAGGATATACTGAGGAAAAATAATAACAAGTAATTAATTTGTGCTTATTCAGCTAGAAAAGCTTATATATTGAATTAGAGAGTTCCAAAAAAACAATTCAGTGACTAGACCAAGCTATTTTCTTTTTAAATAGGAATTTTCTTTGGAGAAAGCAATGCATACCATGATGGAAACCTGGGATTCAATTTCCTTCAATACAAATTTGTATCGTGAGACTGGTATTCATATTCTGTCTTCAGTGGATGATATTCAGGCCCTTCTTGATGATCAGATTATGAAAACTCAGACAATGAGAGGATCACCTTTCATTAAACCATTTGACAACGAAATAAGGGTACAATGAGTACTTTTTCAACCATTTTAATTGTAGGATGACTGTAGTGCAATAGTATACCGATTGTGTTACAACTTTATTTGAGTTGTGAATGAAATGCTTTAATTGATTTTTTCAGCAAGAATCTTTTGAGTTTGTATGAGTCATATTTTATTTCTGTTCTGGAATTCTCTCTTCCATTCAGATTCAAGTGCAACCAAGAGAACATGGTTCTTTTTTTCTCATATTTTGCAAAATCATGTTTTCCATTAACCTTTTATCTTAGTAACCAGAAATAACCAGAAATAATGTTTCTATTATTGCTAATAAGAACATTTATTTATTTATTTATTTATTTATTGGGTTTTGGATTGAAATTTTGAACTACAATGTTTTCCTCAAGGCAAAGAAACTTCTTGACAGCTGGGAGAATGTTTTTTAATCAGACCTCATCAGAGCAATGATGGCAGCGCTTTACCACCTGCTTTTGAATTTCAGGGCTAGAGTAGTCCTTGTGATGCTAACACCATGGCTATTGACAGGAGAGAAGCTGGTGGAATTGCTTCGCAGTTACCCTCCCTAGTTCATTGTTGTTCATTATTATGTAGGTAATGTTCAGGCTCAAGCAGGCTTAGTGAGCATACTTATAATTTACAGGCAGCCTGCTCCAGTGGTATCTGCTATTGTCCTTAGGAGAGGGATGCTGGACTTACTGGATCTCTCCTATAAGCTGAGGTGGCTTTTCTGGTGTTGTGTCCCTCTGCCATTCAGCTACAAGAGCCCTTGCTGTGGGGAGATGAAACACCATTTGTCATTGGTAGCCTCCTGGCTATTGCTTAATAATGAAGTTGTTGAAAGTTCATAGCACTGAAGTGATAAATGCATTTTGGAGAATTAATTTCCGAGTAAGTAAAAACTTCTGAGGTTCTTTGGCCATCTGTATATGTGGAAGAACTGAGACTCTTGTAAATATTTTTCTTTCACTTTTTTTATTGGTAAACTTTTTTTTCTCCTCTCTGGAAGCTGGAATACCACAATGTCTACCTTTCCTGAATTTGTTGTCTCTAACATTATCTGCTTGGAAATGTCAAGTTAACATTTTTTAAACATTTATTAAGGAATGGGAAAGCCGCTTGATTCAAATTCAGGAGAATATTGATGAGTGGCTGAAAGTGCAGGCACAGTGGCTGTATTTGGAACCCATCTTTTCTTCTGAGGATATTATGCAACAGATGCCAGAAGAAGGGCGGCAGTTTCAGACTGTGGATAGACTGTGGAGAGAGATTATGCAGTTTTGTGCTGAAGACCCAAAGGTAAGGGAAATATCCATTACTAACAGGAAACAGTAGCTTCTCTTACCATTTTTTTGGGGGGTGGATGCTTAGTTTTCAGAATATATACAGTGATATGATTTCAGCTCCCTAGGCTTTCTAGAAACAAAGTTGTGCTGTTACTTACTTGATTAATTTCTACTGTTCAAAATACTTCATTTATAGATGAAAATTTGCACATGTTTGTTGTTATAGGTTCTTGTTGCTACTTCTTTACCAGGATTAGCAGAGAAGCTTCAGACCTGTAATGAGCTTCTTGACAAAATCATGAAAGGACTTAATGCTTACCTTGAAAAAAAGCGTCTCTTCTTTCCCCGGTATGATGAGCTTTGGTTATTTAAAACCCACAGATTCTGAATGGAGTTTTTTTGTTGTGAATAAGATCAATCTTAAAAACAGCTTGATAATGTAGTTGTATTTTTTTTTTCTTATTTTTTTAGCTTCTTTTTCTTGTCTAATGATGAAATGTTGGAGATCCTGTCGGAGACTAAGGATCCTCTTAGAGTTCAGCCTCACTTGAAGAAGTGTTTTGAAGGCATTGCTAAGCTGGACTTCCTTCGCAATTTGGATATTAAAGGAATGTGTAGTTCTGAAGGCGAACGTGTGCAACTGATTTCAAACATTTCTACTTCTGAAGCTCGAGGTGCAGTGGAAAAATGGTTAATTCAAGTAGAAGATATTATGCTGAAGACTGTACGTGATGTAATTGCCAGATCAAGAATGGTATGGGGTTTGAGATAATTTAAGAACTGTAGCACCTATCTTAGTTTTATGGCTGTCTCTTGGCTTTCTAAAATTCTTCCTCAGCAGAGAAGTTGATGAAGTTGTGTGGCCAGGACCAAGTTAACATGACTTATATTTATAGGCCAGTGATATGCATTAGAGTTTAGTTTGAATAAGGCATAAGTAGTTTTCCTATAACACTGGATATTCTAAAAGTTTCACAGCTGTACTATTTTACAGGATATATTATGATGTAGTAGTTTAAGTTTCTAATGAATTAGAACACTTGCGATATGCTTGCTGCTTCCTAAAAGAAAGTCATTAGAGAGAAAATGTTTCTTTGTCTGAAGTTAACAGTTTCTGAATATTTGGAAAATGGAAAGATAATTCTAAGAATATTTGAAATTATTGGGTAAAAAATTGTAAACCTGTATGGAAAAGAGCATTTAAAGCTCCATTTGGACATTGCAAATAGGAAAATAGTATTATTCATCAAGGAATATTAATAGGATTACGTTATAAGCTTCCATATTACGCTGTGATATATATTCCCAGACACTATGTTTATACAATGTATTTAACTCTTTCAGGCATATCTAGAGACCGAGAGAAAGCGCTGGGTTCTGGAGTGGCCTGGCCAAGTAGTGTTGTGTGTGTCTCAAATGTACTGGACAAGTGAGGTACATGAAGTTCTTCACAATGGACCCAAGGTACTTTATAATGCATAATTTTTTTTTAAACCTTTCTCAGTGTTTCATTTCAGCTGTTGTATTTTGCTTAATCAATTTTGCTTAATCAAATCAATAGTAAAAATTATTTTTACTATTAAAATAAAATTTGAAAAATGATGAGTATGTGTGTTTGACATATATGAATTTATGTGCAGTGATTTATACTTTTCATTCAAGTACTTGAATATTCTTACTTAGAGCAATCATAGTTTAAAATGTAGCTTTGCAACATAAATGCATAACTGTGGATAAGAGAGAAGTTGATGCAAAGCCATTACAATATAAAAGAGTAGCTTAATAAGCAACCTCTGTTAAGATATCTGGTCAACATGAAGTAGTCTGGAACACTTGAAATTGTGATATAACCAGTTTCAAAATTACCTTTTGTCTCCTAGGGCTTAAAGGGTTATTATGATACACTTCAGCTTCAACTTAATGATATTGTAGAGCTGGTAAGAGGAAAACTCTCAAAGCAAACCAGGACTACACTGGGTGCCTTGGTTACTATTGATGTTCATGCTAGAGATGTCATAAAGGAAATGATTGGAAGTGGTAATTATATTTTAAGACATTTTTCTTAACACCTAGTTAATGAAAAATCATTAACCCATCAAATTTTACTGCGTAAACAGTATAGTACTAAGATGGGTTTATGCGCATTGGGCTACAATCATCAACATTAATAATTTCAAAGCTGTTTTAAATTTAACCCCAGTAGAAAATCCAGCTACCTACAACATCTTTTATGATTGCTGTCAACTCTTTGTTTGTCAGGTGTGCAGAGTGAAACAGACTTTCAGTGGCTTGCACAGCTGCGCTATTATTGGCAGAACGAGAACGTTCGTGTGTGCATCATTAACTGCAATGTGAAATATGCCTATGAGTACCTTGGGAACTCCCCACGCCTGGTGATCACTCCTCTCACAGACAGGTGTTACCGCACCCTGGTATGAGCTTCCTCCTGGGGTACTGCAAATTGCATTTACTGTGCTATACTATAGCTTACACTGTTCAGTGCAGGCATCCTTTTAGGACTTTCAGACCTATCCTTTAGGGCTTATCTGCTATTTCTGCTAGAATGAGGTTTTTTTCACAGAATGTTGACGTGAAAATCCTTCATAACAACAAATCTGGACAGCCCACCAACCTGACTGAAATATTTGTGTGTTCTTCTGTTGTGGGTGTACTTTTTTAAATTACAAAGGAAAGACGATATTTGATTACTGTATAGATTATGAGAATGCAATCTGCTTTTCTGACGTTCTGTGGCTGCTAAGTTAAGTGGAGAGGGATTGGCTTTTGATCACACTGTTCCTAAGACTAGTACAAGTTTGGCAACATTTTAGTATCCCTGCTCTTGGCAGAGGTGTTTATTATTGTACTGGTTTATCCTCAGCAAACCTGACAACTGGAAGTTACCCAAGTCATCTCATACAGTTTTTCTCATTATCAGTTACTGCAGTCTCTTTTCTGGAGTATGATTTCAAGTTTTTCTAGGCACTCATACTAGGCTGTAGCTGATGTTTGGTATCTCAGTCAAAACATCAAGGTACATTGATGTGAGAGGGTGATGCAGCTGGTAGTCTGTTTTGGTTTTAAGCTCACAAATCTCGAATCAGAGCACAGCAGGAGGAAGCCTGGAATTCTGGCAAGTAGAAGTCTTGTCCTTTGCCCACCAAGGTCTTTATAAAGTATTCCCAGAACCTGTCAGATGTGGCCCTGTAACTGTAGATTGGACTGTTTGTTTGAAGTCTGTAACTTTTTGTTTTCTGTCAGATTTTCTCCTACTTCAGTAGAATATAGGAGAGAGTATGGAATGGTCCATGGAAGGCACATACATCAAAGGGGGATGGTGTGGGAAAGAAAAGAGGAAAAAAGTATATTAAAGGACAGAGAGAGAAAAGAGTAACAACAAGTAACTGCAACAAATCTAACTTGAAAGGTGTATCTAAACAGAACTGAAAGACTAAGTATAGTAAAGTGTGAGTAACCAACCATGGTCATGATGATAATAAAACTAAGCCCTCTGTTACAGTGAAAATTAAATTCTCTTACATATTTTCCCCAGCTGTAAGTACATTTCAGATTTTTTTTAATTAGTAAAACCATAATCTTTATGTTAGATAAAATAAGTGTACAAAACTATCAAGTGCAATTTAATTTTATCATTTTCATTAAGAAGAATTTTGTATAAATGAAGTACAAATAATTTCCATAAACTATTTCTGTGCTTTAGATTGGAGCCTTTTATTTAAACCTCGGTGGTGCCCCTGAGGGTCCAGCAGGAACAGGTAAAACGGAGACCACCAAAGATTTGGCTAAAGCTCTTGCTGTCCAGTGTGTTGTCTTTAACTGCTCTGATGGCCTTGATTACCTGGCAATGGGAAAGGTAAATAAAAAATAAATATAAGTTGTATTTTATTTTTAGCATGGAAATTTTAGGGTCCCTATTTTGCAGACTCAAATAAATGTGGCACCTGTGGTCTGCTACCCTTGGATGCCATATGCTATTCTCTACATGTTTCATTTTCTGTGCTTTACGAAAGCCTATTAAGTTGCTAATTAAAACATGAAAGAAACAAGAGTTCATGGGATTGGGTTCTTCTGAAGTAGCTTGCTTTAGAATCAAAAACTTTATTCTTTAGTAGATCACTGATCTATGAACTAAACAGGTTTAAGCATTATTATTGTAATTGTATTTTTTAAATCTAATTCATCTTCTGACATTATAGTCTTAGTTTCCTTTGAATCCTCTAAGGCTCTGTTAGCAATGTTATTGGTTTCTTTCTTCATTTTCAGTTTTTCAAGGGTTTGGCTTCATCTGGTGCCTGGGCATGTTTTGATGAATTCAATCGCATTGAACTGGAAGTGCTGTCTGTAGTGGCACAGCAGATCCTTTGCATCCAAAGAGCCATACAGATAAAGCTAGAAACATTTAATTTTGAAGGAACTGAGCTAAAGCTTAATCCCAATTGCTTTATAGCAATTACTATGAATCCAGGTTATGCAGGACGTTCTGAACTTCCAGATAATCTGAAGGTAAAATAATGCATCTGTGACTTTTGCAATGATTGTTTTGACCAGATGAGTTGTTTTCATGAGGAGGCTTGGCTAACTGAAAGCAGAGATAGTGCAGCATGAGGAGCACACCAACTGCAGATTGCTTAAAGAAAGGAAGTGCATTCTCTCACCTGCTGTGGGCCCACGCTTTCCTTCCTTGCTGCTGGATGTATCTGTGCAAGGGGCAAATTGCATTCTTGAGACAGTGCTGAGGGAATAGAGCTGTGGGTGACAGTGCCTCTTCTGCACTGCATTGTACATTAAGATGGGTATTTGTGGTAGCTCACTTAGGTTAACTTCCTAGGGAGTCATAAAGTGCAAATATTGATAATTTTGTTTTATGGTGGGATGTATACTGTAACAGTTCTGAATTGCTTTCCATTCCTAAATTAATTAGTTACATGAAGATACTTTTTTGCGTATGTATTTCAGGTTCTTTTCCGAACAGTAGCCATGATGGTTCCAAACTACGCTCTGATAGCAGAAATTTCCCTCTATTCGTATGGATTTTTGAATGCTAAGTCACTGTCAGTGAAGATAGTCATGACCTACAGGCTTTGTTCAGAACAGCTTTCCTCTCAGTATCACTATGACTATGGCATGCGGGCAGTCAAAGCTGTGCTGGTGGCTGCAGGGAATCTAAAGTTAAAATTTCCCACAGAAGATGAAGATATATTGGTGAGTTCCTGAGGGAATATTTGTTCAAGGAGTTTCATAAATACCTGGAGTTCTGAGTTCTGAAGGCAGGTCCAGCACATATTCTCACATCACTGTTCTGTAGTTTGTGAAATGAAGATAATAAAATACATGCTGCATTTTCTGGGGCTATGATGATGATTGCATGGTTGGGCTTAACTTCTTATCAAAGGCCCCATTTAATGAATTCATCTTCGTTACATACTAGGTTATTTTAATTGCTGAACACCATATGCTCTGCCTCTTAATAAGAACAGTAAAATGCATATTATGCATATTTGTTTCTTCTAGCTTCTTAGATCAATTAAAGATGTGAATGAGCCCAAATTTTTGTCACATGATATACCTCTGTTCATGGGTATAACCAGTGATTTATTTCCTGGAACCAAGCTTCCTGAGGCAGACTACAATGTAAGTACTCTTCTAATTTTTCTTGGTCATAATCCTTGTTGGTTGTTTTGTGGTGATTTGCTTTTTCATCAGGTGGAATAAATACAGGGAGGTATATCAAGATGAGCAAAACTGCTGAATGTTTGCAATGAAACTTTGTAGCAAAGGATATTCTTTTATCTGCTGAATATAATCCACATCTGAGTTCCCTTACATGCAGAAGGGTTGTGCATTACAGACTGGAAATCAACCTGTACATTAACCAAGTTTTAGGTTTTCTGATTTCTTTCCTAATTTTTGGACATAATTAAGTGAGATGAAGGTTTGTGCTCGTATTTTATTCTTAGCATCACTTAAAGCAATCTCTGTAGGAGAATGATTGGAAAGGATGAGTATGTTGGAAAAACAAAACAAACTTTTAAGCTTTCAGTAAATACTATGACCTTGAAAAGAGTGTATGGTTCTGAAGAACACTTCTGGTTTCCTGATATGCCTTCTCATCTAGATAAAAATTGTAGTTAAATCCTGTTCTAGCACATGAAGTACAGAAGTGGGAATTTTTTCCTCCAGGAAGTTTGCTATATTCTAGATAATGCTATTTCAGTTATTAATTAATTTGAAACCCTTTCTGATGAGCATAAACTCTTCTATTACTGTGCAGGACACTAATTTAAATTGGGGCAAGAATAAGATTATGATTTGTTTTGATTTTAGGATTTTCTGGAATGTGGCAATGAATGTTGTGCTCGACATAATGTCCAACCTGAACAAACTTTTATGCAGAAAATGATACAGACATATGAAATGATGATTGTTAGACATGGGTAAGGTTCTCATCACATGCTATCCATTGTAATTCTGACTTATACTGTAGCATTTATATGAAGTTATAGAAGGTTTTGAGGATAGCATAATATTCCTCTGCTCTAGTCAACAGCTTTGGAACAGCTGAATACTGATACTGCTTTTGCATGTCCCAAAATTCTTGTGGATTATGTCTGAGGAATTGTACTCTTCCTGATATCAGAAGCACTTGCACATGTATAATGATTTGAGGTGCTGATATCAGTATGGTGAAAAGTTAGGACTGTAAAAGCTTATTTGTATTAAAATATTAGTTGTCAGATCTGTGCCATTTTATTCCTAGCTTGCATTACAGAATAGCAGCTGTGTGGAGGAAATACATACAATATGACATTAGCCATATGATGGTTAATATTCAGATCATTAGTTAATCTTCTCTGTAAGATTGTGCAATCAGATTTGCATATGCAAATAAAGTGGGTTTGTGGAAAAGATTTTTTTTTATAGTCAAAGAAAATTTGCTTGCCTTGCTTTTTGAAAATTAGGTGAAAATTAGCTTTAAGCATATGTTTGATACCATTGACCATCATGTGATGTGTAAAAGTCTAAATTTCAAGATAAATTTATTAATAGCAGATTTTTTTTTCATATCCAACAGCTTCATGCTGGTGGGGGAGTCATTTTCTGGGAAGACCAAAGTTCTACATGTATTGGCAGATACACTGTCTCTTATGAAAGAGCGTGGTTATGGTGAAGAAGAAAAAGTAATTTATAGAACTGTGAATCCAAAATCAATCACTATGGGCCAACTTTTTGGGCAGTTTGATCTGGTATCTCATGAGGTAATGTACATGTAAAAAATAATGTTTCCTGTGTATTATGTGTCTGTTATTATGGATAGTAAACTCTTGAATTCATAATTTTATGATTTTAAACACAGATGGGAGCACAATTGTAAATTTTACTTTAACTAATATTTTTGTGGCCTGTTTTTAATTAGGATTTAAAAAAACACAGTACCATATGTTTATGCAGTTAAATAGGTTTGAATATGAAAAAAAAAGCAATACCATTTTGAAGGTCATTGTCCTCTTATAGTTGCATCCATGCTTTGAAATCATATAAAATGTAATTGTATTCATTTTTCTATCTGCTCTTAACTAGTATAATCAAAGTAATGCAAAAGCTCTCTAGAAAAATCTATGAACTCATGGGTTCCCAAGTGTGAAACTTAGGTTTGGGGAAGGAATGATATGAAATAGTAAATGTGAAATAGTGAAACTTAGGGTGACTCTGTAGAGAAACAGATGCAAGACAGGGAAGAAGCGTTTCTAAGTTTTAGTAAATTGAATTGCTGGTCTTTTTTGTTACAGTATTTTTTCAAGTGAAAATGTTGGGTTTTTTTAAAATTTGCTGTTATAAGTCCCTCAGTGATACTCCAAAGTTACGTGCTGCTCTCTGCAGCACAAGAGGAGAACAGAGAGGGACAATGGAAAACAAAGAAAAGGGTTTCTGTGGCTGGCAGCTCAGTTTGAACTCTGTGTTCTTTGTCTCACTCCCCATTGCCATGTCCCAACCTGTCAGTGGACAGACGGGGTTGTCGCTACAACCTTCAGGGAATTCGCTTTGTCCGAGACCCCCGAGCGCAAATGGGTCATCTTCGATGGCCCCATCGATACTCTGTGGATAGAGAGCATGAACACCGTTCTGGATGACAACAAAAAGGTACCAGTCAGTGAAAAAAATGCCTGAATAAAATTATGTGACATTTTGAAAATATTCTTCTATGCATCAAACCACAAATACAAACTGCAGTGCCTGACTTTTGAAAAGAGCAAGTCCAAAATGATGTTGGTGGCAAGACATGAACTTTTTTTTTTAGTGTTTTTTGTCTGGGGTTTTTATTGCTTTTGTTTGTTTGTATTGAAGTCATAATCACAATATCAACTCATTGCTGAAAGACATGAATTATGTAGTATTTCCTTAATGCCATAAAGTAATTTTCTAACATAAATAATTGAAATTTAAATATCAGAGGTTATAAGTAATTATATTTCTTGTATATATTTCTATATTTTTAAGACTGTACAAACTTAATTTAGATTTTTAGACACTTGTATTTCAAGATAATTCCAAGACACAAAAGGTTACATTTTCAAAATAATGGCTTCTGAAGTCAAAATTGTAACACCACTTTAGTAAACTAACCCTAGGAATCTCAAAGCAAATATAAAAATTAGAGACAACATTTGAACTTCTAATTTCTGGATGATAATGTGTCAGAATACTCAAACTGGAGTCTTTTGTATGAAAGGGTAGTGTGTCTCCAGCTGGAATGCTTCAGTATTAGCAAAAATAGCTGCTGCTATCTTTTATCCTTTCTTCTTGCTATCTTTTCTTTATCCTGTCATATACAAGATTGATTGTAATGAACGTACTGGTAGGTTACTATGGAGTACTATGGTTTAAGAGAAGAATTGAGTTAAAACTTAGTAAGAATCTATTGCTACAAGTGGTTAAACATTTTATGTGGTTGACCTTTCCTTTGTTTTTACTTGGTTTTGTGCATTTTCATATAGAACTCCCTTGTGATAGGAAGTGTAATTTAATACTATTTTTTTTTTCTAATCTTGCATGTTACTTTTTATCTTTCAAGCTTTGTTTGATGAGTGGGGAAGTCATCCAGATGTCCCCTCAGATGACTCTTATTTTTGAAACGATGGATCTTTCCCAGGCATCAGTAAGTTTTCTATTTAATGAAAATATAAAAGAAAATGCAGTATATTAAATGCACAATAAAATTAGTTTACCATTTTTCCTCAGCCTGCCACGGTCAGTCGTTGTGGCATGATTTATTTGGAACCTTCTCAGCTGGGCTGGAGGCCACTTGTTACCTCTTGGCTGAGTAAACTGCCTGAACCACTGAACTCAGAGGAACATCAAGATCTTCTGCAGGCACTTTTTGATTGGTTGGTACCACCAGCATTAAGAGTCCGTCAGAAACAGTGCAAGGTATTTTTCTTCATTTTTTCCTGCTGTAGTTAGTGGCCATTTCCGTTCTGTTACCTTTGGTAGGAGGTGACTGTTCTCTCATGACATGCACAGTTAGAATGAATATGGGGCTCTTGGGACCAGTTTGAAGAGTTAAAATGAAAGTATCAGCTAAGGCTTGAAACTTGATCATAGTTTTCATCTTCTTATTTTCAAAATAAAGTAAGTATTTAAAATACTAATTAAAATGTTTTCCCAAGAGAATTTTGTATTTTTTTTTTTCTTTAAAGATGTCATGTTCCTTAAGGAAGTACTTTTTTAAGTTTTAGGGGAAATGAGTATTTCCTTGCAAGCTCAGTGTAACAGCGCTTAGAATTTTGCTCACATTTTGCTGTAGTTACTTCTGTGGGTTTTTTTTGGTTTAGGATATTTAATTGTAGTGTTCACATGGTAGCCATGAACATGGTTAACAAGCTAAAGGTCTTGGCATTTAAATGATTGAGGAGGGCAAATGATCTTTTGAGTAACAGTCAGTGTAAACCTTACCTTCTAGTATGTGTTCAGGATTAGCCAGTGATCTAACTGTTTTAGCGTTTTATCTCCAAAAATAAATTAAGTGAACACCTAACATATGACATCCAACCTTTTGAATCTCTTAGGAACTGGTACCTACAAGTGATATCAATGTTGTAGTAGCTCTCACACGGATTTTTGAAATGTTGATTTGTCCAGCTGTGCAAGAAGATCCTACAAACAAAAGCATCCGTGCCTGGATTATGGTTGGTTTTTTAACATGGAGCAAAATGTATATTTGTTTCTCTATATGCTGGTTTTCAAAGCAGTTTTACTAATCCAAATAACTTTAATTTGTGAATAAGAGACACGTGAAACAATTTTACTACCTCCTTGCACTCTCCCCCCATACTCAGATGAGATGGAAGTTTTACAAGTGACAAATATGATTAAAAAATTTACTCTTTTTCCAATTAAAAGGGATAGTGGTTTTATTAAATGTACTTTTTAATTAACCAAGAAGTTATAACTAAGCAAAGGGTCTTCTTTCTCTTAAAGGAAATAAATATTCATATAACACTGATTGCTTTGTTTGTTTGAGCCAAATTTCTATGTGAGTGGGTTTTCTGACATATATATTATATATGTCATATATGTCATACATATATATGTTCTGACATATATATTATATTAGTTGGATCCTCTGTCTGACCTTATATGATTATTCTTATGAAAAACTGAAGAAAATAGAATGTGAAAGTAGTTATTTAAAATTAAATTAGAAAATTCCTAGGTCCTGGTTTGTCATTAGAACTCTACTCAGGCTTTGTCATGTGACATACTGCTGTAGTCAGTGGCCTTTATTTTTTGTTCTCTCTCTTTCTGTCCTTGAGTAAGATTGTATGTGTGCTCTGTCTACAGTCAGATTTCTAAATCTCTTTAGGCAAGGGGTATTCAAGGGCAATTGCTACCATCTCTCTGCTTAACAATATTTTTTAGAATTATGTTTGTTAATCAGACTGTACAAGGTTTATGTAATGTGTCAATTTATGAGACAGTTACTAGTTTTTTTGCCTTTGCAGGGTTGTTTTGCTTTTGCCACAATCTGGTCCATTGGTGGAACTTGTGATGGTGACAGCAGGACAATTTTTGATAATTTCTTGAGGGAAACTTTGTCTGGGAAATCTGAAATAAATCCGGTACCAGAGAACTTGAGAACATGGGAGTGTCCCTTAGAAGAGAAAGGCTTGGTCTATGACTACGTGTATAAGGTAGGATTGGCTTCTGCATCCACTAAATAGATTCTTACAGTCCTAATAGAAGGAAAATGCAGCCGGGTGGGTATTTTAACTTTACAAAGCATGTTGGATGTTGTAGAGTATTGGTTGGATTAAATCCCACAAATATATTTTTCATTTATTTTTCAAATACCAGTGTACTGACCAATTTTTAAGTAAAATACTAAGATGTACACTTCAGTTATACTTGTAATACTGCCATTGTATATTTCTTCTGTAATCCAAGCTTAGTTGGCAGATTCAAATCTGCTTTTGTATAGAAGGGAATGTGGACTATTCAGAAGGAAAGTAGAATATTAAGCCCATAGGTAGTTTGTGTTAGAATTTTTGTTTATAGCACCTGTTAGACTCCTTTCTTCTCTTGTTTTTTGTTGTGGTTTTCTCTGTGTGTGAGTTTTCTGTTTGTTTTCACTGAACAAAGTTTTTAAGAAAATAAAGGAGTATAAGTTTAGGTATGTACTTTAATTCTTTATTAGTGAGATAAAGCAAACTAAATGTGTGAACTTTTGAAATCTCACGTATTCATTATTTTATTAAAATCCATTACTTTTTCAAAAGTTAAGTAGTACAGAAAACCCTTCATGCGTATAACACCGATCTTTTTTACATCTGTGTTTCTTCCTAGCTCAAAGGGAATGTAGGTTGGGCTCACTGGAATGAATTCATTGAACAAATCAGTTATGGTGATACAAATATGAAGATTCAAGATATCATAGTCCCAACTATGGATACCGTTCGCTATACCTATTTGCTGGACCTGTTCATTAATCATGGAAAGTAAGTTGCTTCACTACAAATTTCTGAAGTGAAATTTGATCATAGGTAGAAATAGCTCTTTTTTATTTTATTTTGAGTTCATTGTTTTTATCAAACCCTCTGTTTATTTGGCCTTTTAAAACAGACATTTACTACATACAAAAAAATTTACCCAAAAGTCTGGTTTTAGTTTTCTTGTGAAACCTTACTACAGTCTAACTTCAGTATTTACAGTCTGATGATGCTCTTAGGACAGCCCAAAAATTGTTGCACTTTTTTTCTACTTTGGCAATTAAATACGTATTTTAGGATTTTTTCTTTGATTAATCCTATCAAAAACAGCTGTACTAGCCATGATCAGATTATATAAGAGAATGAAATAAAAATTACCTCAGATTCCAAGGCTGAAAGCTCTATGAAGTTTGGATTAATGAAGACATATCAGGAGAAATTTAACTCCCGTGTGTGTTCGTATACTCCAACACCAGTAGATTGAGGAAATGAAAAGTGTTTATTTCTCCTCACATTTTCTTGATAGTGGAAGCAAACTAAAATTGTGAGAGTGTTTAATAAATGCCTTAGAACACTTTAGTTTCTTCTTTAGGCAAGTAATGTTTTCAGAGGTAGAAGAAGGGCAAGTTAGGGCAGTTCTAGCTGCTTTTAGTTTACAATGTTAGATTTCTGCAGTCTATGTGCTTTATTTCTGTCTTTGTGAAGACCACTGCTTCTAGTGGGACCAACAGGAACTGGGAAATCTGTGTATGTCAAAGACAAGTTAATGAACAACTTGGAAAAGGAGCGCTACTTGCCCTTCTTCATTAATTTTTCAGCTCGAACCAGTGCCAATCAGACTCAGGTTAGTAGAACAGATTATTTTGGTCTCAAGGACACTGTAGACATGAAATATGTAATCTGTGTTCTGAATGATCCTTTTTGCATTGCAGAACATTATTATGGCCAGGCTGGACAAGAGGCGCAAAGGAGTTTTTGGCCCTCCAATGGGGAAAAAGTGCATTATTTTTGTAGATGATATGAATATGCCTGCTTTGGAGAAGTATGGGGCACAGCCTCCTATAGAACTTTTAAGACAGTTCTTTGACCATGGATTTTGGTAATAATTTTAAATGCTACTGAAATTTTCTGTTGCTGTATTTGCTGTTACACTTACTTATTTGCTTGAATTTTATTTTTGAAACTTTTTTGAAGTGGTTTGTAAATGTTAAAGCAGATTTAATTTATATAAAAATAAATTCTTTAAAGTTGAAGCACTTGTATATTACTCTCTAAGGACTTCTCAGTTTAGAAAATTCACGATCAAATTAATTTTGAGTGTTTTAGAATGTTCTACTGCTGAACTTCAGCAGTTAGTATACGTTAAATAAAATGATTCATTTACACCTTGATTATTTTAATTTTTTTCCAGTGCAATTTCTTGTCCTTTTTCTGTCTCTCCCTCCTTAGAGTGAGTTGGCAGTTTTCTGTACATATCTATATATATGCAGTTATATAAAACTTCTGTTTTTATTTCTTATGTTGGTTTCCCCTATTATCCATATTTCTATTAGTCGCTAAATTTTTTTTTAGCAAGATCTCAAAATTATTTTTTTTTTTTAATTCACAGTGAAATCAGATCTGGTAATAGTTATGAAATAAGTTGAAAGTCTTCCCTGCTTTTGAGGTTTTTGGCTTTGCTTATATCGGAAGATTGGAACAGGTGTTTTCCTGAGTCTGGATCATTCTATGATTCCAGGCACTTTTCAAATACAGTTACTCTTGTGATTCCAGGCGCTGCTCAAATACGTGTTGCTCTTCAATAGAGTTAATATATCTTGACACATTACAGTTTTAATACTCAAAATTTCACATCAGGTTTTACGGAATGCAATTTAAATAAATAATCTTTCTTTTGGCCAGAAAATGATATGTTAAGATTAACTGGTACACAATTAAAGGACTAGTTTTGGTTTGTTTTTTTTTTAGGCAGGAGAAGTTGTTTTTTTTAAAAAAGATAAAGTATGTCGAAATATATACTATATTTCGTAATGCCTACTATGTTTTTATATATTTTTAAATACTTTTTTATTATGCATTCAGAGAATGGTCTGTCATATAGATGCATCTAAGGTGTAAAAAATGTGTTATATCTGTTTTTAAGTGTCACATGGCATTTTATTTTGAAGGTATGATTTTAAGGACACCTCTAAAATCACCCTTGTTGACATCCAGTTACTGGCTGCTATGGGGCCTCCAGGGGGTGGGAGGAATCCTGTCACCCCTCGGTTCCTGCGACACTTCAACATCTGCACCATCAACTCCTTCAGTGATGAAACAATGATCCGTATCTTCTCTACTGTAGTGGCTCTTTACCTAAGGAGTAATGACTTTCCTTCTGACTTCTCCACAGTTGGAAATCAAATTGTCACTGCCACCTTAGAGGTAAGAGGCAAATACTGGAAATTTCCTTCAGTTTGTTCGTTGAAGTTCCTTTGGCTCTACAATAATGTAGTGTGAAAGGTGGTTTTTTTTGAGAAATAGGGTTTTGGTTTTTTTTGATAAATAACATTTTAGAAGGCATTTAGGAATTATGATAATAGTACAGTCTGTGTTACTTTTTTGATTTTGTTCTCTGCTGTTATCTGAAGGTGTATAAGAAAGCCATTCAGAATCTTTTACCCACACCAGCCAAATCTCATTATACCTTCAACCTGCGTGACTTTTCACGGGTTATCCATGGCTGTTTGCTCATTAAGAAAAGCGCAGTTGAAAACAAACATGTGATGATTCGGCTGTTTGTACACGAGGTGTTTCGTGTCTTCTATGACCGCCTGGTGGAAGATGATGACAGAGCCTGGTTGTTCAATTTAGTGAAAGATATTGTGAAAGAACATTTCAAAGAAACATTTGATAAAGTTTTTGCACACCTGAAGGAAGGAAAATCACCTGTGAGTATCGTGTTTTACCTGTTGCAAAATAATTGCTTTTATGGAAAATTTAGGACACGAAAGTTAATCATAGGTGAAATTTTGATTCAAATGCATGTGTAAGTTTGCATTGAATTTGGCAAAATATCTTCATGAGGAAAAAATGCAGAAATGAAAATTGGGAGGGTTTAACTGTTGTACATAAGCATTCTTTTCAAAAGATACTACATATAAAAAGTGAGTAAACTTACTACTTTTCCTTAAAAGAAATTTGTACCTCTGCATCCTGTTATTGTTATTAAATTTTAGTATCCAAAATGCTTGATTATATATACAGTTGTGTTATATTTTATGCCTTGTCTTCCTTTTTTTGTAGTTTGTTTTTATGTCCTTTGTTATTTCTTTCATGAATAGAAGAAATATCTTTGTGGTCATATTTTCCATTTCATAATATGGTGTATTGACTATATGAAATGAACTTAGTGTAATCTGAAGGCTGTGATTATGAGACTGTTAGTGCCTATTTGAACCAATTGTTTTCCAAGAACAAATTAAGAATAAGTGTATGGTTCAATGCAGGAAACATAATTTTGAGGGCAGTGTTGTCTGTGAGTCAAAATATTTTGGAGTGCTTATTCTTGTGTCTGGGGTATTTGTCTAAATTCTCCTTTGTTTTCTAAAATTCCAATGAGGAATACGTTCATTAAATATTAAACTTGACTTCATAATTTGTTGAATATTTGCCATAGGTAACAGAAGAAAACATGAGAAGTTTGTGTTTTGGTGACTACATGGTTCCAGAACTTGAGGGAGATGAAAGACTTTATGTTGAGGTTCCAAGCATTGAGGAGTTCAGTGATGTTGTGGAGCAGTGTCTGGATGAATATAATCAAACCCAGAAAACACGAATGAACCTTGTTGTTTTCAGGTATTTTTGATCTGTTTTATTAAGAGTTTTAAGCAGTAGTTGATAATTCAGTATATTCAATTTTGTGGACTGTGGTTTTTGGTTTGTCTCCTCCCCTTTATGCATCCTTACAAGTGATTGTGGTATTATACATTTTTGAATGGAAGTAAACTGATTTTTTTGCTCTTATGCTTCTCCTATTTCTATGTGAAAGTAAATAATGAGAAGCTTTTCTCCTAAGGGGCTTTGAATGTTTTCCTTAGTTGTTACAGAAACATTGTGCACTGAATCAGGTAGATGCTTTTCTTGTCTTAGGCCTCTGTCACCAGTGAAGATGGATGTCACTGGCCCTTCATTCTCCATGTACAGGCGTCCCAAGAGGGATGATCACAATCAGAGCTGTCTGTCTGCTCTGTTGTTATGCAGCACAGCCATGCACCCAGCTGGTGCTGCAGTTCATCTTGTGAAATTTTAGATTCTGCAGGTCCTTATTGCTGCCTTAACTTGTGATCATGCAGAGCTACAACTGAGAGAGATTAGGAAGTCAAACTCCTTCCTCCACCCTGTTGCTAGAGGTTACCATCTCTTCATATTTGCCAGGGTAATTTGACACATAGATACTTTGTGAAGGTGATTAGGGTTACTTTAAACAGTTCTAATAGCAGCTTATTTTAGTCTAGGTCATTTTGCTAAACTGGATTTCTGAGTGCCTGTATATACAGCTAGGCTGTCAGTTTGAAGAGCTGGCAGATCAGAGGCCACTTCCTGGGTGTAATATTCCAGTGACCTCACTGAGCTGCAGCCAGGAGAGCCTGTTTGACTGTAGACTTGGAGTTCAATCTCATGGATAACATTTGAATTTGTTTCCTGTATTTTTCTAACCAGTGAAAATAAACAAGAATTTATCTTTCTTGAAATGTTTGAAAGTTTTTTTGTGACTACTTTTAATAGCTGCTCAGCTTGCTTTAATTACCCCATGCCCTGTGCTTAAGCAGGAGATCTCCTATAGGACTTGCTTCATATTCTGAGAAAAATCATGCCTGAGTTTTGACAAGGACTCTCAATAATGTGCAGATACTGTTTCCTGAGGATGTTCCAATGTCAAATCCACATATAAGTTATAGAACACTGTCAGAGGTAGAGGAAAGGGAGATGTTTGTTGATATAATACATGTTCCCCCAGTGGTTACTTTAAAAAGATACTTAAATTGCTATTCTTCAACAAAGTTAAAGTTGGTAATACTGCTGTTATTTTGAGTTAGAGAATTAATGTTTCTCTTTTCCTTTAACACATTTATCCTTACAGTGCTCCTGTTTTTACCTCTGCATGTTCTTTCTAGCAATTTGTAGTAATTTAGCTAAATACTAGTATTTATATCATAGAAGAATTGTAAGTTTTACTTTATTTTGTGTCTCATGCCCACTCTTTCTTTCTCTTCCTCTCTACCCCACCCCAGCCTGCATTCAGTAATTTGTTTTGGAGATGCTACTCCTTGATATGTTTCAGTTTTATAGGTGCATAGATGTACATGTATTTCTGCTCTTCCAGTAATCAGCACACTCCCAATGCAGGTACATGCTGGAACATTTGTCTCGATTAAGCCGCATTCTGAAGCAGCCAGGGGGGAATGCTCTGCTGGTTGGAATGGGAGGAAGTGGGCGGCAGTCTCTGACTCGCCTGGCAGCGTTCATGGCAAGAATGTGTGTTTTTCAACCAGAGATTTCTAAGACCTATGCTACAAATGAGTGGAGAGAAGATGTGAAAGTGAGTATTAATAACCGATCTACATTTCGACTTAATTTTGAGGAAAGGTGTTTTGGAATGTACAATTTTAACTGTCTTGCATTTTCAGAGACTTCTGAGGAGTGCAGGTGTTAAAGGCTTGAAAACTGTATTTCTAATAACAGACACACAAATTAAAGAAGAAAGCTTTTTAGAAGATATTGACAGTGTTCTCAACACAGGGGAGGTTCCCAATCTTTTTGCAGCAGATGAAAAACAAGAAATTCTAGAGGTATCTTTAAGAACTCTCTTTAATTTCACCTCCCTTTCAATCTACTTGGTCAGTTCAGTGTGAAATTTGGCTTTTGGACATTTACACTTAATTCTGTGACTTCTTTTTGAAACCTTAGATAAATCAGCTTAGTAAACTTACGGAGTAGTTTATGCCAACTACAAGCTTTAATTCTGACCTAGCACTCTGTTCACAAAGACATTAAGTTCTGCATGTAGACAACTTGTGTTCACAAATACCCCGTGGCCATAAATATTTTTTGTAGTGTATTGTATAGGACAAGATTGTGCATCATAATGTTTTCATTGATCAGTGAAGTGCAAAGATGTGACATTTTTATTAGAGCACATGGCCTGCCTTTCTCAATAGACTCCTACTCCCTGGGGCACTAGGGCATTGTTAGATAGAATTTCATAGTCCTGACACTTCTATTCAGAGACAAGGTGGGCAAAGGTGCTCCATGAATTTGGCTCAGAAGTAAAGATGCAATGTACTCAGGCAAATTAAAAAAAAAAATAACTAAAATTAGACTTGGATTTTCACAATAGCAGCCACAATTTGGTAGGGAGGGGCATCAGTCTTTGTATACATCAAGTTGAAAACTTACTGTTAGCAAGCAATGTTTGAACTGTGTGCTATGCTGTCTTCCTATCTCTGTGATGTGTTTACTAAATTAACTAGGCATGCTTCTAGTTGACTTCCAAAGTGGTTCTTAGTACACACACAAATGTTCTTTATTACAATATCTGTATCACTTGATAGATGTTACTACTGTTTCTTCTTGCATTTAAGTTATGGAGCATGTTGATACTTGGATTCATGTATCATTCAAAGAAGTTAAATTATAATTCTTGTAATGGTTTTCTATTACTATTTTATTCTTACCAGGTATATAGTGACAATATTAAAATAATATGGCTCTTTTCCAGTTTTACAGTTTGTGTAAACAAATTCAGTGGTATTTGCTGGAACTTGGTAGCTATCCACAATGTGACAGCTGGAGCAAAGTTGGTTTTTACTCATTTAAATCTGCTTCCTCAAAAGAATTCTTCTTTAACTCTATTGTTATGATCTATTCTCAGTTGCTCAGACCAGCAGATGATTATTTCTGGAATGAGTTAGCAGGGTTACAGAAAAATAGTGCAATCCTGTTCTCTGACAGCATTTACTACTTGTTCTGGTTTTCTACTTTATTTTACCTGTTTCACTTCCACTAAAAAATTTAATTTCCTGATGATGCTACCATTAATAGGATCGGTATAGGACTTCACATGTGCTTTAATGAGAATTTATCTTAACATTTTTTATACTATGTATTATTCCTAAGGGTATTCGTGCAGCAGCTCAGGCTGGTGATAAAGGTGAAGAGCTCAGTCCCTTGGCCTTGTACGCACTTTTTGTGAACTTCTGCAAAGAAAATCTCCATATTGTCGTGGCATTCAGCCCAATTGGAGATGCTTTCCGCAATCGTCTGAGACAGTTTCCATCGCTCATCAACTGCTGTACTATTGATTGGTTCCAGGTATGGGAAAATATTTATAGTATTTCCTCAAAAATCTGCTTCAGTTCTTTAGCACTCTTTATTTCTAAGTGCCATTGGGTTTTCTTTTGTCTTCCTTGTAGGAGTACTCCTTGTTTTTCAAAATTTTAGAATTGCATAGGCCTTTCCTGTAATATTTTGGGAGCTCTTTGATTTGTGATCTCAACACTTCTCCATCTAAATAAACTTAAATTTTGTTGCTACACATTTCTGAAGTATGAATAGTCTTAGTTTGATGATGGCAATTTGTAATTTTATTACATAATGTTTATGCTTTAACGGCCTAGAGCCCTATTAAACAGGTCATCCACTGTAGGAACAACTAGCAAATACAAATCCTGTTGTTTATCAGTAGATCTTTTATAGCAGAATAAAACTTGGAGAAGCAGTATTGATGTAAGCAATGTTGCTCTCAATAAAGCACAGTTAGCTCTATAGCTTGGCCCAGTCCTGATATCAAATAATTTTTCTGCCAAAGGATGAAGAGACACAGAACTATTTGGATGGAATTTTAATGTGTAGCTTTGAGCTAGAAAATCAACCAAGAGTTGCCAGAAATGATTGCATGTGTGATATCCTCGCTGCCCGAACTAACCAACTTTTTTATCAGTTCATTGTTCTTGAGACACAGCTGTGACTAGTGTGTCTCATTCTGGTGGTTTGAATGGTAAAAACTGATTTTAACATTTAAAGGCTGCTATCAGTTGAATTTTACAAATTCTGTTCTCCTCACTTTTCCCTCAGCCATGGCCTGAAGATGCCCTTGAACGTGTGGCTAGTAAGTTCTTAGAAACGCTTCAGCTCACAGACACTGAGCGCCAGGGAGTTGTGCCTGTCTGTAAATACTTTCATACTTCAGTTTTGTCACTCTCTGAAAGGTCAGTCTATGGCTTTTGCAAACAATCATAAAGTATTAGGTGACTGAGTTTCAATGCTACTCATTTATATATTAAAAGTTAACACAACTATTTGCCTTCATAAAAATTATATAAAATCATTGAAATTGTTAATTCCTATCAAATAGTTACATAACTGTCTAATGATAAACTAAAAAAGAATCAAAAAATAAATTAAAATTTAAAGTTACTCTTTCTTTTTTTATTTTCTTAATAGGTTCTTACAAAGTCTTGGACGCCATAATTATGTTACTCCTACTTCTTATCTTGAGCTTATTGCTGCATTTCAGAGACTTCTTACTGAGAAACGAGACAGTGTAATGAAAGCCAAGAAGAAATATGTGAATGGGCTAGATAAACTGGCTTTTGCTGAGTCACAGGTGAGTTACAACAAATATGGAACTGAAAACAGAAAACGTTTGTCAAATGCACATCGTTCTCTGGAGAAGTCAGTCAAAAGTGGTACTTCAGATTTTGTATAGCTCAATCTTCAACGTAAAAGTAACAAATGTATTTTGCCTTTTCTTTCCTACAATCACAGAACTTGTGCTAGAACCATACATCTCTAAGCATATATAGTTAAGTAGAATATGAACATAGCTGTCATTTCCTTGGTGGTTAACAGGCAACTATAAGATAGCATTGTTCTTAAAATTAGACATTGTATGTAGGAGATAAAAATAAGTCTTGGAAATGTTTTGATTTGAAACTGAATGTTGCATCCTTCTATCAATAAATTAGTCATTAGGTAAAATCTAGGTCTTAAAGAAATTGTTGGAAATTGTGCTTGACCTTTCTGGATCCCACCTGATTCTTTTGTGTGTGCATAGGTTGGTAGGATGAAAGTAGAATTAATTGAGCTTCAGCCCAAACTGGAAGAGGCTAAAGTGGAAAATGCAAGCATGATGGAGGTAGAGTTATACAAATACAACTTTGTGGCTTTTAATGTAAGCATGTGTCTTATTTCATTGATGTGTCACTTTCAGAAGGTAAGAGTTGAATTGAGGTTTTTGAGCTCACTTCTTGTTTACAGAGGATTCCAGTATTCTGAAACTGCTTGTTTATGTTTATATCCTTAGAACAGGAAGGAAATTTCATTCTTTATGTAAAATACATTCTCTGGATATACAGTCGTTGCCTAAACTCCATGCTGAAGGACATTAGAGGAACTTTCATGCTAATAGTGATTAAATCAGGTTTCCCAAGCTGATTCAGAAACATTGTGAAAAAGTCAAATAGTTTTTCCATATGACCAGATATGACAAAACAATATGCTAAGAAATTATTCCTTTAACGTAAATTGAAATTATGTTAACATATTAAAAAAGTCAATGTTCTCTTTATTTTTTAGAGTATTCCATGAGTCCTATAGTAGGTAATTTCAGTTTATTTGATCATTCATGCACAATATAAATAAAGCTCACTCATGGTTTTTCTTTAGATTATAGAAGTAGAATCTGCAGAAGTAGAAGAAAAAAGAAAAATTGTAAAAGTGGATGAAGAAATTGCTACAGCAAAAGCTGAAGAAGCTCAGGCACTGAAAAATGAATGTGAGAGTGACCTGGCAGAGGCATTACCTGTCATGGAGGCTGCAATTGGTGCTCTTGACACTTTGAAGGCAAGCAGATCTAAATTTCAGCATTTGACAGTGTTATTTTACTCTCTAAAATGAAGTAGGAATTTAGAAGAATATGAGTTATCTTAGATGACACAAAAGTGTATCAAAATATTCTAACCTGGAATTTTTAAAGCATAATTTAATCATTAGTTTACAGTTCATTAACATTTTTTTAATTTTTATTTCCTCTGCATAGGGGATATTGACAGATGTTGTTCATCGTGATGGTAACATTGTATCATCCCTTCTAAAAGTCCTCTATTGCCATTTACATTCATTAGTTATGGTGTTATAATTCCTCTTTTTTCTATCAGTTCATTTATTGAGTGCTGAGAAAGACATAATACTTAATGTATTTTTTTTTTTTAGCCTTCAGATATAGCTGTTGTCAAAACAATGAAAAATCCCCCCTCTGGTGTCAAACTTGTCATGGCTGCTGTCTGTGTCATAAGAGAAAAAAAACCTGAAAGAATTGCAGATCCTTCAGGATCTGGAGGCAAGGTAAAATGGCAGATAATAGTCTGAAATAAAAATGTAATTCATGTTCTCCTCGACACTTATCCAATAAACAAGATAACCCAAGGTCCATTAACATTGGCAAGTACTTATAGCCTCTACCCAGGACTTTACTGAAAACTTTCAGAAGTCCTTCTTTTCCAGATTTTGTAATGTGTCAGATTTAATTCGCTTTACACATTTCTTAAGAATAGATAATACATAACTTCTCTGAGATACTGTTTACTTTTTGGCTTAAAGTATGACTGGAAGGAAATGTTTGATCTGATGGACTTTCTGCTTTATTGGCATCTCAAGGAGATAGGTTATCAGTATTAAATATTCATGAGTTTTAATTAAATGAGGTTTGTAATTTTTTTATGTGTATTTGTTTTAAAGCCTGAAAAAATATTTCCTACTATGTTTTGTAGATTTTGGATTATTGGACTGCAAGCCAGAAAATGCTTGGCAACATTAATTTCTTAAAGGAATTGAAAGCCTGTTCTGAAAAACCCATTCCAGTAAGACTTTTTTTAGTAATTTTTGCCATCTAGACACTTGCAGGGAAAAAAAAATAAAATGAGAAAATACTGTATTGTCTCTAATGTCTCTATTGTCTCTATACTATATCTCTATTGGAAGCATCATTTGTCCAAATCAATCTGTTTTTCTGAGACTCTGTCCCTTTAGCCTCATTTCACATATTCTGTTTTGGGAGTTGATTGGGGTTTTACGGTGGAACCAATGGACATTTGATCCATGAACAGCCTTCCTATGCCTTTAGTTTTACTAGATCAACCATTCAGCATTATTACCTTCTTTTTATAATTGGCTGCCCATTGCTGCCCTTCTTAACATCTTTTTCTAATTGTATTCTTTTGAATTAATTAATTAATGATAACAAAATGGGTAATATTTTGTTAATTATACTGGCAAATATACAATAAATACAGAAATGTACTAGCTATATAACCTTTCAAATATGATTACTTCTCCCAAAGGTCTTGCTATCCAAGAGTGTGATTCTTGCCCTTTGCTGAATTAACTGGAAATTCAATATGCTTTGTCCTTTATAAAACTGATCCCCAAAAGTAGGCACAAACAATCACATTTTGTATTACATAAGGAGAAATGCATTTTTATAGGGATCCCCGAAGTTGTGTATTGAGAAAAAGATAGCAAATAATGGAATTGGTGAGTTCTACACAAAGGGCAGTGTAAATTAAGGCTCCTATGTGACTCTAATGCTCTTAGCTGCCACATGGAAGATACAGCAAATACATAAGTAGAAAGGATAGGGATAGGATTAGAATGAAAACAGAACAAGACTAGAAAACATCAAAACAATCAAGTAAGCCGTGATTTCTACAACAATTAATACTGAATAGTTCTTTCTTATTTCATTGTGTAGAGAAATGGCAATGAATCTGTTCAATTTTGAAGTGTCAGCCGTGAGATCTGATGGGCTGTAATGCTTTTGTTACCCAGGAAGCTGTCATGCAGAAGATTCGGACTGAGTACCTGACTAATCCAGAGTTTGATCCCCAAGTGGTGGCTAAAGCTTCCTCAGCTGCAGAGGGTTTATGCAAATGGATTAAGGGAATGGAAGTCTTTCACAGGGTATCAAAGGTGTGGTTTTGATCCTTGCCCCTCGGTGCTATGCAATCTTCCTTTGCTCCATGTATTCACCCTAAGCATTGTAAATAATAAAGTTACAAAAACATACTAAAAGCATTTGTGTATTGGTTGTAATTGAATAGGAGATTGAACCCAAAAAAGAACGTTTAAAAGTGGCAGAGGAGTCCTTGGCAATGACAATGGAACTGTTGAATCAGAAGAGAGAAGAACTTGCAGCAGTTGAAGGCCGTTTGGCTGCTTTGGAACAAACCTTTGCTGAAAAGACAGAAGAAAAGGCTCGTTTAGAATTCCAGGTTGATTTGTGTGCTAAAAAACTGGAACGAGCAGAGAAATTGATTGGAGGCCTTGGTGGAGAGAAAACAAGGTCAGGTTCAAGTTCAAATGTCAGATAAAACAACCACTGTAGAAACAGAACTTGAAGTTCTCTTCACTAAGCTTTTAATGCTGTATTTCTGTCTGATGACTATAACACTAAAGAATGTCTGGCACCTTGAAATATTCCTAATTGTTTGTAGCATAAAAATATGGGCAGCAGAACTGGGAGAATTGTAGAGGAAATATCTTCAAAATGAGAATAGAATACATGAATGAGGTTTTCATATTCTTCACCTATTCTTAGCTAAGATGAACAAAACCAAGTTGATTTTTAACATCAATATCATTAATGTGGAGCATGACTTTTTGCTGCTTGTCATAGGTGGAATCAAGCTGCATATGACCTTCAAGAGGAATATGATAATCTGACAGGAGATATTCTGATATCAGCTGGTGTAATAGCATATCTGGGAGCTTTTACTGCTGGATTTCGACAAGAATGTATCAAAGATTGGAGCAAACTGTGTAAGGTTAGAAGGTTATCTCAGAGTTAAAGAAATACTTTGTTTTTTTGAGACTGCTACAAAAGGCTTCAAAAATCCCTTGTAATTTATTTTACATCAGCCTGGTAAACCTTACAGGTAAACCAATGGGATCAATTCTGTTGATCCAATAGTTTGTAGATTTGAATTTAATCGAATCAGCGAATTTACTCCACACTTATACTTTACTCCACAGTAGCATATCAGAAACTAGAGACCATCATTGATTTTGTACGGCTTGATTGTTACTGAAGTAAAATCTCATTTTCTGTATTTTGCCTTAAAATGAAAGAATTAAATTTAAAATGCAGTTATGTGTAATGTAAAGCATTTTATAACTTACACCATCAATATTTGTATGCTAATTGGATGGTTGAGTGTGTGGTTTGCAAAGGGACACTTCCAACATACTTATGTGAATGCCATAATTCATAAATCAAGTGATTTGGAATCACTTAAAAATGCCTTAAACAGTAACAAATTAGCACTGGATTGCTGTACTGAGTTGATGAAAGATATAATTAGATATTTCCAACTATGTATGAACTTCTTAAGTCATAACTTTATGTGACAAACCTGCCACATTATGAATGTACCAAAAACTGGATAAATCTTACAAAATTTGAAAAGAGAGTAAATATTTAGTGGGAAAATTTAGTTAATTATTGAAATTATGGTTTATTTTCCCTGGGATTTTTAGTTATACATGACCTATTTCAGTCTCTTAAAACAAAATGCACATTGTTATTTTTGGATTGAAGTGGCATTTAATATAAACACACACAGAATAAAGAAAAATATTTACTTTATTAAGTTTTACCCTCTTTTTCAGGAGAAAGAAATCCCTTGTTCTGAGAATTTCTCTTTGAGCAAGAATCTTGGTGACCCAATAAAAATAAGAGCCTGGAATATCGCTGGTTTGCCAACTGACATATTTTCTGTAGACAATGGGGTCATTGTTGATAATTCAAGACGTTGGTAGGTGACAAAAGGCTTAATTTTTAAAGCCAAACAAGCTCACACTTTGAAAAAAATAATATATCTGGAAACAATGTAGCTTCTGTAGAGCAATATAATTGAAAAAGGAGTGGAATCTTTTTATTCCAGGGGGGAGGTAGAATGATATTTTACAAGAATTCTGCATTCTGGCTATTTTATGGAAAATGTTAAACATTTTTTGCAACTTTTAAAGCTATTGCTGCTATTACTTTTCAAATTATCATAAATCATCTATGCATCCATAATTCACTGATATCTTAAAATAATGTAATTAAATTGTATCACTTCTTCTTGACAGTCTGATACAGAAACATGTGAAATAGTTTAAAATTTTGAAAAATGCCTGCAAGCACTGATAAAACTGTCCGTATTTTCTAGGCCATTAATGATTGATCCTCAAGGTCAAGCAAATAAATGGATCAAGAATTTTGAGAAGGACAACCGTCTGAATGTTATCAAGATCAGTGACACAGATTATATGAGAACTGTGGAGAACTGCATTCAGTTTGGGACTCCACTGCTGCTAGAAAATGTTGGAGAAGAACTAGACCCATCTCTTGAACCTTTGCTGCTTAAACAGACATTTAAACAAGGTACAGCAGACTTAATTTAGAACCCTGAAGGAGAGAACATTAATGTTCAGTTTCTAGTCTCTGGCACCACCTGTTTTTTTTCATATTGCTCTCTTCTTGCCCTAATTCTGCCTCTGGTGTAAGAGAAGGGTAATTGCACAGCAGCCTGATGTTTTACTTTTTAATAAATGTCAGTCCTGCCTATCATGATAATGCTTTTATGTGAAAACCTTCAGCAGATTGCTATAGGAGACTGAAGAAGTTCTGTGAAGGAAACATTGTCAGTGAAATTGTTTTGCTTGTTGGTTTTCATATGTTGTCGTCTAGTAATAATATTTGCTAAATTTTGTACAAATCAAGGAAAGCTGTCAAGGCGTTTTGCTTAAGGCATAGCTTTCACTGTACTTAGGAAGTAGCTATGAATGTCTTTTTCAAATTTCCTTCTGTTGGATGACAGAAAAGTGCACATAAAGAAAAATGTTTTCCCTTCCTTCTTACCTAGTTTGTCTTTATTGGTTTTCATGTTCAGAATTAAAACCAAGGGAAACTAAAGCTCAAACACTTTTTCTTCTTTGTGGTTTCCTCTTTCAGACAAGTAATTGAAGGAGAGAGTAGTCTTTAAGAATTTCTTGGGAATAATTCCACAGATCTCTCTCTTGCCATCTCTAGTTTTTGTATATGCAAATTGGAAGTACAGTAGTAATTAGATTGACTTATTTTCATCTGCTAAGAGCAGATGAGGAGTGGCCCCACTGAAGTGTGTGGGAATTTTTCAGACTATCAGGTATATTTACTCATTTTTACTTTTCAGGAAATTTGTCAATGATGAGAAGTTTTTTTTTATTTAATGACATATGGGTTTTTTTCTACTATGAATAATTGGAGTAGATAAGTTTTCTTAATGGCTTTCTTCTTAACTTTAGGAGGTGTGGAGTGTATCAGGCTTGGTGAGAGCATTATTGAGTATTCCAGTGATTTCAAGTTTTTTATTACCACAAAACTAAGAAATCCACACTATATGCCTGAACTTGCTACAAAAGTTTTGTTACTCAATTTTATGATAACACCAGAGGGACTTGAAGACCAGCTGCTAGGTATTGTTGTAGCAGAAGAGAGGTATGTCCTTCTTTATGGTAAACAGCCATTAAAGGTTTTTATGGCATAGTTCCAAGGAAATGAAAAATCAATTTACTGTATACAAAAATGGATGTTATGTGGTGTAAAAGTTCCCAGTAACAGCTTTGAATTAAAATTTTATTATTTAAAAAGCATACTAGGGAAGTGTTGGGGGTAAGTGTCTACAAGTTAATTAAAATAGCAGATGTGTAATAATTTTTTTTATGGCATCTTTCTCCTGAAATATTACTTGAATGTTAGAAACCTATGTAAATATCATTTGAAGTTCAAATCATGACTGTTATTTTTTTCCATGTGAATGAACTGCCTGACAAAGGTGCAGAATTATGAGGATTTCATTTTACTTTTGTGTGAAATAAATGCGAAGTACCTCTGAAACTGATTATGGAACATATCTGAGCCTCCACAGCAGCACAGAGAAGTAGTATCTGGGTTGGACAGACATGTCAGTGCAATTGGGGTAAATTATTTGCTAACAGAAGTGTTTCCAGCAGTAAACCGGCTCTGCATGTCACATGGTGGTTTTATTTCAGGCAGCATGGATACAAGAAAGGAAAAGTAGGAGGCACTGCTATTTGCAAAATGCTAAGATTTTAAAGATTAGACCATCATTTCCAAATACTGAGTAGAAGTCACCAGTAGAACTCACCAGTAGAAATCTATGTTAAACAGCAAAAATCTGCTTAAACTGAAAAGAATATTCACAAATAACTTCTTATAAGAAGAAGGAGTAATTTTCATGGGCTTCTTTTGCAGCCAATGCAAGATGAGCATTGAGTGATTTTGATTTTTGTGTTTTTCTTCATTAGGCCAGATTTAGAAGAGGAAAGGAATGCTCTCATTGTTCAGTCTGCAGCCAACAAAAAGAATTTACAAGAAATTGAGAAGAAAATTTTAGAAACTTTAGAGTCATCTGAAGGTGATATTCTGGAAGATGAGACTGCCATCCAGGTCTTGGATTCTGCCAAAGTCATGGCTAATGAGATCACCAGAAAACAGCAGGTAAGAAGTGCATATGTGTGCTTCCCTCAATAATACTGAGAAATTGAATGTTAAAATAGGCAGCCAACAGAAGGTCTCTGATTTGGATGCAGAGCACAAAGAGTGAATTCTGGACTTGGGAAATGGGAAGAGAAATAAAATTGTATCTGTTCTAGAATCTTCACTGGTAGTTTATTCAGTCTTTAAAATGTTTTAAAGTATGTGTATGTGTAGTGCAGGTAAATAGATCAGGCAGTACTGGGGTAGGGCCAAGTGGTTGTTTTACCTACTGGGTGGTGCCTTCTGCAGCAGAAAATTGCATTTCTCTGGTGTTACTGTGCTGCATGGAACTACTTTGGTAATGTTATTAAGCAGAAATAATGTTATTAAGCAGAATATTGAGAGTATTGAGACTATTAAAAGCTGTTGTTTCTCCCCTGCCATTGATGTGTAGATTGCAGAGAAGACAGAGCTGAAGATCGCGGAGTCGCGGGAGGCGTACCGGCCCGTGGCACAGCACTCGGCTGTGCTGTTCTTCAGCATCGCAGACCTGGCCAACATCGACCCCATGTACCAGTACTCCCTCAGCTGGTTTGTCAGCCTCTACATCAGCTCCATTCATGACAGGTAAAGAGGGTCTGTCTACAGAAAATAAGGGGGTTTCATTTTCTTCTTATGAGTAATTTTCTTCATTTGGAAACAGTTTGCCTCCTTAAATGCAGACTTTTGAAGGAAAATAGGATTTATTAATGAATTAATTGCTCTTTTTAGTTACTGTTAAAACAAGTGGTGAACTGTAAGCATGTGCTGTATTTAAGTATTTTTAAGAATGTGACTTAGTGTGAAGTCAGGTCCTGAAATAGGCTCCATTTTGAAGACTGAGTGCCACCACTTAACTGTGGCAAATTGATTTCTGCTTATTATTTTGCTTGGGACTTCTAAAAGTGCTACAGTCTTTTAAAAAGACAGGGAGTATAGTTGAAATTTTGGGGGAACTGGCACATAAGTCCCTTGTGGAGCCTGCAGATCAAATATAAATCCTCTGCAACCCTAAATAGAGGAGATTTCATAACAGATTGTATATGTTATTCAATTTGAAGTCTCAGTTTATCACTTCTTTTCTTTTTAGTAATAAATCCAAAATTTTGAAGAAGCGACTTCAGTATCTAAATGACCACTTCACCTACAATCTGTACTGCCAAGTCTGTCGTTCACTGTTTGAAACGGACAAGCTGCTCTTCTCGTTTTTGCTGTGTTGTAATCTGCTCATGTAAGCTCAGTTTTGTGAAGTCTCTTACCAACAGAAACTAATGATTTTATCATGGAAGCAGGTACTGCTGAGATGGAATGTTCTTGTGCACATTGATAATAATGCCTTTGGAGTAAGGTCATGAATACTTTGGGCTAAGATGTGTAGTATTAACAAATGGAAGAGTATGCGAGTACACGTATCACTACTACCGGACACGTTATGAAAAAGAAATGTGTGCCCATTTGTCAATGGTTTTGTCAATGATAAATCTATCTTTAAAGGATCTGGGTAGTGTTACATAGCATCCTTATGTCAAACCAATTGCTGTTATTTATGAAAATGTTTTAGAATGAAAATTTAGGCAGTAATGTGTAATGCCAACAACTTCTAGATTCTTGTCTTTGTTTTTCATTCTTTCTCTTCTGTTACCCTTTGCATAACATGAGATTTCAGATGTAGTCTTCTCCTTTACACCAGCTTTTTAATTTTCTTTTCTAATTTTGTGTGAATACATTATGAAAGGAATCATATGTTCAAAATTACACATCCATAATGTGCGTAATTAATTGCGGTGTGTACTCATCTGTACATGGATGTTCTTCTTGGGCCAATATGTAAGGCTACTGCAATTGCAGAACACATTATTTTCTGCAAAGCCTTTAAGAATCAGGAATAATTGCACAGTACAAAAAAAAAAAAAAGCAGGTGTTAGGAATAAGTTCTTCAGTTCTTCGCCAAAAGCATTGTCAAGCACTGGAAAAGGCTGCTCAGGGCAGTGGTGGAATCACCATCCCTGGTGGGATTTAAAAGCTGTGTAGATGTGACACTGCAGAACTGTTGTTAGTGATAGCTTGGCAGTGCTGGGTTAGTGGTTGGACTTTATCTTAAAGGTCTTTTCCAGCCTAAACAATAAATTGAATCTAAGATTCACCTCTTGAAACCCTTACTTTAGTCTTAATCAGACATTTTTAGCATGCAGTTTTTTAATAATATATAATATTGAGATCTGAATCCAGCTCTTACTGAAGTAGAAACATTCCTCAAGGTCAGTGAAGTGTAATTAAGTTAAAATGACTTTATATTATGTAAAATTGTATCTCAATTACTGATTTTTTTTTTTTTTTAATATAGGGCTAATAATGAAATAGAACATCAAGAATTTATGTTCTTACTTACTGGAGGTGTGGGGCTCAAGAATATGCACAAGAATCCAGATCCATCTTGGCTATCAGATAAGAGCTGGGATGAATTATGTCGTGCAAGTGAATTCCCAGCTCTGGAAAGACTGAGGTATGGTGAAATAGTGATGTGAATTGGCTTGAATTGGTTTTGACCAATACATACCTAACATGCTGAAAGAAATATTTGGCATGTTTTCCAAATCAGTGCTAGAATGCAAATGGGATTATATCAGCCCCCTATTTTCATTGTCGTGTTTGCTTCACTTACTCCAATCAGTCAGGTCACTAATTATAATATTTTTATCAAAACTATTTTTTCTAAATTCTTTAAAGCATTGCCTGGAGAAACTTTTCTTTTGAAATGTGTTCATGGTAGAGAAGCAGTGTTTTAAGGGTTCAGTGAAAGCTAGAGATGGTACATGTCGCAGAATTCCACTGCAGTTCTGGGGAAGGAGTTTTTCTAAGTCAACTCTACTCTCCTGAACTCAGTACAATTTTGCCTTTGGTTTAAATAGAATTTAACACTAAATTGTGGAGACAGCCCGGCTGTACAAGACTTCCATAAATTAGCTGAGTACAACTATTTGTAGCATTTGTATCTGAGAGCAGTAAACTGCTCTCTTGGAAGAAGTTCTCTGAGGTTGTTTTGTGTTTCAGCCCCTTTGGCATTTTAGTAGCAATGGGCAGGATGATGCTGCCTTTACATAACCTGAGAGTTGTCCCATTGCCTGGGACATACTCTGCATGCTGTGTGGAGAATGATTCTTTTCCTCTAGTTGAATTTCTTGGTAATTTTCTTCAGTTAAAGTATGGTGTTTTCCTGAAATAGTGGAGGCAGAAAATTCACACAGACCTATGAAGTTCCAAGCTGGCTGGAGTAACAGACAGAACCTATTGTCAATTTGAAACCTTTTAGGTGGATGCCCTTCTCAGCAGCATGGTGGGAAGAGATTTTTCACGATCCAGCATAGAGAAACTCAACTGTGGGATTATTTTCTGATGTAGATATGAAGTGTCTTAAATGACAATACAAGGTAATTTGCCTTTGATAAACATTAAAAAAAAAAAGACTCCAGGTATTTATAGTACTTGTGGTTTTTTTCTCTAGGAGTCATGTCTCTGAAAATATGGGTGAATGGCAAAAAATGTACGATAGCAAAGAGCCTCACAACTTTCCATTACCAGAAGAGTTTAATGATACATTAACTGAATTACAGAAGATGATAATTCTTCGGTGCTTAAGACCAGACAAGGTAAAATGATCTGTTACAGAGTGTTTTTAGACTGTCCCATGCCTTGTAGCATAGTTTGCCCTGTCTGTTCCAGTAATTAATCTGTCCTTCATCAAATTTATTAAGAAAGAAAATGCTGTTCCTATTTTTCAAGGGACCAATACAAACACCACAAGTATCAGCTGAAATCTATCTTTCTGAAGTGATTTGATTAATCTTTTGGAGGATTCTCATTGTTCTAGCTCTCTTGAGGTATTTTTTCACAGCTAGGCTGTTTCCTGGTACACCCAGTATATTCAAGAACAGGACATATTAGCCTGAAAAAAAAATACACAGGATATCTAATACCATGTGCTTTCAAGCAAATGATTTTTGAGGCAATAAAGAGATAAAATGTGTTGATTCGAATGACCAAGATGAACTTTCAACAAATTCTGCCTTTGGTGCACTTAACAAATTGTATTGCATTTTCTTCAGAAATTATCAATGTTAGAATTTAAGGCATATTGCAATTGCTTCTTTGAATTAATTAAAAATAATTACATTAATATTTCCTAAGGGAGAACATGCTTGTCTTCCACATCAGGAAAAGCCTGAATCAAAGTCTTAGTGTTATTTAATATTATATATATGAGGTATGTTATTCTTTATTTTCTAAAAATATTTTTATTCTCTTGTAAGGTGTCAGCAAGAGGTGAAACCTTTTCTTCCAGATCATTCTGCAAGACTGGTCTCAAATCTCTGCAAATCAGAGAAGTGTCTGCAGGCTTGGGAATTTGGCATAAAAGACAGTGTCAGCTCTGCAGTTATGTCTATGTTAATGGCTTGTATTTACTTTCTTTTTGACCAGATTGGTCCAGCTATAACAATATTTGTTACTGAGAAACTGGGGAAGAAATTTGTAGAGCCACCATCTTTTGATCTAGCAAAAAGTTACTTGGATTCAACTGCTACAGTCCCTTTAATATTTGTGCTATCTCCAGGAGCAGATCCCATGTCTAGTAAGTATACACAGAGAGAGAAAATGGGGACCTCAAATTCCCCTTCAATACACAGTGAGGATTATTTTACACTTTCTGCAGGTAGATTTGAGTGCATTAAGTCAGACTGGTAGAATTCTGTGCCCCTTCAAAATGGGAATTTGTATGTACATGTAAACAAAACAGAAGTTTTTCAGTATTTTTTCTGACATAACTTCTTTTTAATGTATGAGTGCTAAAATCTTATGCTTTCTGTTCAAGGCCTCCTGAAACTGGCAAATGACAGAGAGATGGTAGGAGATAAGTTTCAGTCCATCTCATTAGGACAAGGACAAGGACCAATAGCTACAAAAATGATTGAAACAGCAATGGAAGAAGGAACATGGGTTTGTTTACAAAATTGTCATTTAGCTGTCTCCTGGATGCCAGTGCTGGAGAAAATATGTGAGGAGCTTAACAGTGAAAAATGTCATCCAGAATTCAGACTTTGGCTTACAAGTTACCCTTCACCAAAGGTATATGCATTGTGCCATTATCTCTGTTTAGGGAAAGCAAAAGCTGATGGCATTTTAGGGAAGTTTTGTATACCTGAATGAGCTGATAATGCAATACTTCTCTGAAATGAAATGAGGCTTTCAAGAGATAATTCAGCCAAGAAAGGACATTTGAAAAATAGTTATAAACATGATAATATCAAGCTTCCTTTGTAATATTTTGATACTCTGGTGTGCAAGATTTTGTGTACTACTCAATGGAACTGCAAGCTCCATATATGATTAAGAATATTAAGAAATTAAGAAGGGTTTTTTTGTTCCTATGTAAATTCAAAAATTTAATCTTGCATTTTATTTGTGAAGTGTTGAATACCAAGAAAACACTTTAAAATACAGGTTTGTTTTTTTACAGCAGGGTCTTATTTTCTTGAAGCTTTGGAGATTTTTATAAGCTGTTGACCTTTAATATGCAATTTCTTGTAGATAGTTGTTTATGTAAAAAACACAGAATAATAGTGTATTGTTAATATAGAATCTATTCCGTGCTTTCTGAATGCAGTTTTGCTATTTTTCCTTTCTAGTTTCCAGTAACCATTCTGCAGAATGGAGTGAAGATGACAAATGAACCTCCTACTGGTCTCCGGTTAAACCTACTTCAGTCATTTCTTTCTGATCCTATTTCTGATCCTGAATTCTTTGCTGGATGCCCTGGAAAGGAGCTGGTAATGTGCCAATGTCTTGAGAAGTTTTTGGGCTTTGGGGGTTTTTTATCCACAGATATATTGATTTCTGCCCAGTGAATTATTACTAGCTAAAATTTTTACTGTGGTTGTGAATTTAGGTTTTGCAGTGATAATTAGTTAAGAATTACCTCTACCAAGTAATTTAATGTAGCAATATTTTAAATGGTTTCTTAGGCTTTATTAAATCACTTACATGCTACACACACATAGTACAGAATGTACATGGACTCGGAACATTGATTAGAAGGGCACGTCTGTCATTATGGAGATGATAAGCACTGAGACATTTTCTTGCTACCAGGGACCAAGAACTGCAGTGCCCTTATATCTTATTGATTCCTGAACAACTTAGCTAATCATTGCCTCTGAAGGAAGTGAAAAACAGTGGGATCAGAGATAGGAGTTATCAATATACATAGGTGTGACTATACCTAAGGACTTGCTTTAAAAATACATTCGGATTTTTTGTTTATCTAATGAATCTTAGAACTAAATATCTGTCACTGCTGGAATTCTTACGAAGTCATTTGCCCTATACATTAAAGGATATCATGGTACTTGAGGAACTGGCTAAATGTGCTTGCATATGTGGCACTGAGTGTGCACAAGGCAAAAACCACAAGGTACTTGGTGGTGGCCTGGATTTATACCTGGGTGGAGAGTGGTAATGCAAGGTGTTCACTACACAGGTTGCACACTACCATGAGCTTATAGACTAGTTAATAATACTTTTTTTTTTTTAATTTTTTATTTATTTTCTCAAAGGTATGGGAGAAGCTACTCTTTGGAGTTTGTTTCTTCCATGCTCTTGTTCAGGAGAGAAGGAAGTTTGGGCCCCTTGGTTGGAATATACCCTATGGATTTAATGAATCTGACTTGCGAATCAGTATCAGACAGCTGCAGGTAAAATCATGGGTTACCGCCTGAACTCTGATCTTTCAAAGCACAGCTGGGAATCACAAGGAGCAATACACTGAAGTTACCTCAAATGTTCATAGATATTCAGGACTTCAGCTGTAAAGGCAAGGAATGTCAATCATATCATAAATATTTTCAAAATTACAAATGGCATAAAAAGTTTAGATTTCTTCAGACATATGGAGTATCATGAATATATGTGAGTATTATCAAAGTTTAATTTAAGAGCTCACTATATTTTAAGTAGCACATGTCAATGACAGTCACCATATTAGGGTGGTTAGTAGGAGGAAATTTTTTTTACATGTATACTGGTAGTTAACAGAACATCAGACTATTCTCCTTCCCCAAGATGAGACGGTGAACACTACTTGACCTTGAACCTTTTATAGGCACTCTGTAGAAAAGTCAAGAGAGTTAAAACTGAATTACAGAAGTTCAGGCTGAAGATTAGAAAAAGAGAAATTAATGAATGAGATTGGAGGAAAACTAAAAGATATATTAATTGAAACACATGTTTATTTCTGGTGCAGAAAAGGATTCATTTACAAAGTTTGAACTGGATAACCATCCACTTGTAAATAATTCAAGAATGTCTAGGATGACTGAGTAATTTTGATATTCATAAGAGGCTTTTACTCTTAACTAGTCTTGATTTTAAACAATCATTTTTACCTGAAAATAAGATTTCAGAATTTGAATTTCCAGGATTTCTTCCACCTAGGAAGAAAACTCCATAAACTGCAGCTTACACATGCTATGGCTTCCAGCCTTTTAGTCTCTTAGGTCACACTGCTGTTTAGCAGATACTGCAAGTCTCTGGAATTGCTCTTCTTTCTGTTTCAGTTATTCATCAATGAGTATAACCATGTTCCTTTTGAAGCTGTTTCTTACCTGACTGGTGAGTGTAACTATGGAGGTCGAGTGACAGATGACTGGGACAGACGTTTACTGCTGACAATGCTGGATGACTTCTATAACCCAGATATAATTGAAAATCCTCGTTACACTTTTTCTCCCAGTGGCAACTACCATGCTCCACCCAAAGGCACATATGAGGAGTACATTGAGTTTATTAAGGTAAAAAGTAGCAGCAAGACTTTGCAGTTACAATAATGTGCTGAGAAATCAATCCTTCAAGGCTTAAAGAGGTAGTTTTGCATCACAATTAATTGTGTGCTCAGATTCTTGCCTGGCATCCTTGTATGATCCTTGCCATTATCTCAGATGTTTTGGAGAGTGGATCAGTAAGTAGATAGGAGGATGTGTAGCATAGATAATTGAGAATTCTTTGGAAATTACTTTCTGTATGAGAGGTGGTGACTATCACCAGTAATTCTGTCTGCAAATACCTGCCACTAAGGTCCTCACTCACCTGCAGTTGAAGTCAGTGGTAGTTTTTCACTTGACTTCTTAGAGAGACCTTGTATCAGATTCTTCCTACTTTGTCACTCAGACTTTTTTTATTTTGTTCTAGAATCTTCCTTTTACTCAGCATCCAGAGGTATTTGGCTTGCATGAAAATGTGGATATTGCTAAAGACCTTCAGCAAACTAAGACCATCTTTGAATCTCTGCTTTTAACACAAGGAGGAGGCACTCAGGGAACTTCTGGGGGTGGTGACAGCACTCTTTATGCAATTGCAGATGATATTCTCAGCAAGGTACTGTATATACAAATTACTTCAATTTATCTTTTTACAAAGCAGAAATTCCTTAACTAGAATCTTCAGTGTAAAGTAGATTTCATGTTGAAAGAAAAGCATTCTGAAAGGAATTTAGTGCAATGTAAAAGTAAGAATTTGTGTGGCTGTAACAGACCACAGCTGTTTCAGCTGAAAGAAATTTTATTAAATAGGCAGAAGACAGAACAAAGAGAGAAAACAGAGCAAAGAGAACTTGAAAGAACAGTTGATTCATACACTTGAACAAATTTAAATTAATAAATAGAAACATATCTATAACTTTTCATTATATTAAAAATTCTAGGTGGTTTTTTTTTTTTTTAAATGGATATTAAAATCCCCCAAATTTTTATTTAGATTGAACTACTGAATCCTGTATTGCTAAGATTGTAATCAGAAAGTTTAGTGGTTTCTATTGCTCTGCAATTTTCACATTTGCACACCTTTAATATAAAATCATAATGATATATGGAATGATTTCCAAATGTGTTGTCTTTTACAGCTTCCAAAGGATTTTGACATTGAAAGTTGCCTGATTAAATATCCTGTGAAATATGAAGAGAGTATGAACACTGTGCTGGTGCAAGAAATGGAAAGATTTAACAAGTAAGAACATTCTAATTTATTAAATTTACCAGAAAACATTCCATTTGCAGAAAAATATTTCTTGCAAATCATATTCTGTAAGCCCTGCGGTGTGTGAAATATCTTTTTCGTTCCCTTCTAATTGCCTGCAGTGATATCTGCAGTCCAAACACACCTTTGCTCCTTGTGGAGAGTCAGTGCAGGATAGATGTCAGGAAATATGAAGTGGCAAAATTAACAGAAAGAGAAAAGAAGGGAGTATGAGGGAAAGGGAAAAGGGAATGAAAACAATATATATATATATATATATATATAAACTTTACCTTCCCTTTCACCATCTTTACCCTCATTTTATTTTATTTTCCTCATATTTCTGACCTGTAGGGTAAAGGAGTTAGAAACTCTACATGCAGTTATAGTTTATGGAGTGTTTTCTGTAATGGAGATATTTCTGTTAATTTCTTAATTTTCTCATGTGTTTCTGTTTGAATTTTTTCCCCTTTTTCTGATGCTTTTTCCCTATGCCTAATTTTCACAGTCTTAAGTAAATCTGCACTAATGCACAAATCCATAACTTTACAGACATGGCTTATTCTGCAGATATCTATATATAGATAAAGAAAGCTATAAAAGTTCTATAGTTGCCTCCATAATCCTCTTCTTTTACTTTATTTCCAATGTCATAGTCATGTTTAACAAATCACATGCAGAATGTATGAAAATTGTTTGTTTTTTTTTTTAATTCTAGTTTAATCCGAACTATTCGCATTACACTAATTAACCTGAAGAAAGCCATTAAAGGACTGGTTGTTATGGATGCTAACCTGGAGGCTCTGTCTGGCAGTCTCCTTGTTGGAAAAGTTCCTGAGAAGTGGGCACAGCATTCATACCCGAGTCTAAAACCCTTAGGGAGCTATGTTGTGGATTTGCTAGCAAGGCTGAAGTTTCTACAGGTAACATACAAGTGGCAGTGCTGCCAACTGTTCAATCTACTTTTCCATATAATTTGTCTTTATTGGGAAAGGAGTGATAGGCTTTGTTTAGATTTTCTGACTACAATTCTATAGAAAATAGTCAAAGATTACATGATTCCTCTCTTTCTGATTGTTCAATGTATTGCTTTCCTCTCTCCAGGACTGGTATGAATTAGGGAAGCCTGCTGTTTTTTGGCTGTCAGGATTCTATTTTACTCAAGCTTTCCTAACTGGAGCCATGCAAAACTATGCTAGGAAGCACAGGATCCCTATTGACCTTCTAGGATATGAATTTGAGGTAAGGATAAACTATAAATTAGTATTTTATTAATCTGAGTTCAGATGTTGTGGTGAGATAAATAAATCCTGTCTGGAAGGTTCATTTTGCAACTGACAGCAGTCTGAAGACATATTTGGTAAGAGTGGCAGGCTAAACTTCTGACTGTTGTAGAAGAGGCATTCTCAAAGTGATTAAAAGTAATTCTATCACTGGACACAGAACTCCACTCAAGAAAACAACATATCTATCTGGTGTATATTTTTCTGTGTGATTAAAGGCTCATTTGATAATGTACAAGACGGTAATTAACAAGCCCCAAGAAGTCTGCTGTCTCTACAGATATATATAAAAGTTGCATTGAAAGGAAACCTTACTATATTATTCTCCACTACTATATTATAGTTTGGTTTCTTCTGAAAATTGGCAATTGGCATAATAGCTCAAAAAGCAAAGAACTGTGAGAGTTAAATGACTTGGAACAACTTATTTCCTACAGGTTATTCCTCAGGATACTGCAGATACTGCACCAGAGGACGGTGTTTATATCCACGGATTATTTTTAGACGGAGCTCGCTGGGACAGGACCAAGTCAGTAGCCAAGTGTTTTACTGTGGTTCTGGAAAGCTTTTTTCATTGCTCAAACAAGACTGGTTTAAATAATTTAAGTGATAATTTTCATATTATTGAAATAGCACACCAAATTAAGTAAATTAAGTACTCTTTCATGCATGGAAAGTGGGGAAGAAAAAACAAACAACAACCAAAAAACACCCACCAAACTCCCTCAAGCCACAAATAATTACTTTGTTGCTTTCTCTCTCCAGGGGAATGTTAACCGAGCAGTTTCCCAAAGTGCTCTTTGATGCCATGCCGATCATTTGGATAAAGCCAAGTGAGTATGATTTCTCTGATGTGTGAGCTATTCAACAAGAAATTGCAACAGTGGTTTCCCTTTTTTACTGAAGATCACTGAGGAGAACTTTTGACTGACTTACAGGAACTAATTGTTTTACCTTATGTGATTTAGCAGGGTTTGCTCAGGTTATTTTAAGCTCTTTGATAGCTGTCTTTCCTACTAGTAAGAGAATTTTCACAACTCTTGTTTCCTTTGCTTGAGAAGAGTAAATCCCTGTTTTTATTTATGCTCAAAATCAGGACTTACTACTGGAACTGCTGCAACTGAAGTGTTAGCAAATAGGCAGTATTAAAATTTTCTGCCTGTGCCTTCTCTTGAGTTTGAATGACTTTGTTCAGACCTGCATGATTTTATGCTTTGCACAAGTTCCATGAAAGCAGTCTGGGAGTACAAAGAGTTCCTGCAGAGTTCTGTCCTTGGATCTCAGATGACTTGAATTGCAGTTAGGTTCTCTGGCAACTAGACCAGACTTGTAGAGCTGTGAAAAACTCATGTATAAGCTATGTATTAACTAGGTAACTATTCAGATTTTAATGTGTCTTTGAGTATTATAAATAATAAATAGAATAAATTTCAGCTAAATTAGTTGGATTTAAGAACAAAACAAACCACACAAGAAAACACAACAGGAAGAAGCTGGATAATTTTACTCTGTTGCTCGCAAAACTATTCTGCATTTTTATTGACCTTTAAAGACGTTACTGTAAATAGTTAACATTTGCATGTAGATTATGTGTCCACCAATAGATCTGCTGAATGTAACACATTATTTTGGTTTTTTTTTTAAGCTGTAAAATCGGACATAAAGAAATCTAATGCCTATGTTTGCCCACTCTACAAGACAAGTGAGCGCAAAGGGGTCCTGTCCACCACTGGGCATTCCACGAACTTCGTCATTGCATTGAGGCTCAACACGGACCAGCCAGTCCAGCACTGGATCAAGAGAGGTGTGGCCTTGCTGTGCCAGCTGGATGACTGACTGTGGACAGTTCACACACAGACTTCACCTTGATCTCTTTACTGGCTTACAGAAGAAGTGGAACTCAGTGTGTAAAAGAAACATCTGGAGGTTTTTGTATTGTAAGAGGACATACAAATACATTCTAACCCTCATGCTTTTGTATTAAGTATGTATTATTATTATGGCAGTCTTTACAATCTGTAAGAAATACAGATATGATTAAAATGTGAACATCTTTTCTGTGCATTAGTTGAATATCACAAAACATATTTTCGTGGGAAATGAAAGTAGTCTGCATTTTCTGAGGGAAGCATTACAGGTAATAAACTTGATTCTGCACTTTGGTTTTCTTTAAAAATAATTTAAAGAAATTATTCAAGCATTCTTTCCACATCTCCTCTAGCAAAGAGCTGTTTCCACCTTGCATTCAGATACAGCCATCATCTGTTCTGTGTATGGATCCCTCCATAAAATACAGTAGGAATAACTGAAGCACATAAAGGTCTCACTCAGTCCTACCATCACTATTACAACTGTGTCTCTCATTTCCCCGTTCTTGGGTGTTGAACCAGTGTAAGTCTGTTTCTCTGAAATTGCTTTTCCCTTTAAGAATTCTATTTTTCAATTGCTTTTCTATTTATATTAATGTGAATTATGATCAAGCAATAAGGAACATGTAATAATTTTAATAGAGTTTTTGCTTGATTATTTGCTTAGTTTAGTTTGCTTTTATTGTTTCAAGGTTTTTTTCCTGCTGTCTCACTCTTAAGAAAGCTCCTAAGACCACCTTAATTTGCTCTCCTAGGACAGCACTAAAGAATTTTCTTTTTACAGTGTAATACTTACTGCTATAATTCTGAAATTTTTATTCTGAAAATCAAAAGTGTTTTTACAAGGAAACTGGACTTTTAATTCCTTCTTTTGTTGGTGCCACTTATCAGGTCAGATTATTAAACATAACTGACGTGTGTGAAAGAAACGTGGAGAAAGTCCCAGAGTATCTTATGATCGGGTATTTATAGTGAGCTATTAATGGACATGGGCTCTGCAGAGGTTGCTTACAATCCTGAAAATGTCACTTTCAACTTAATAATCACTTCTTCAAAGGCTGAGATTTTCCCTCTTTCAGAAGGTGAGGAAACCCAGTATATTTTCTCAATTCATAGGAAAATTAGTAGTATTTTTAGGGAAAAAAATAGTCTAGGCTTAAAATATTTATGTCCTCATTGAGCCATAGTAAAATCAATTACTAACAGTTTCTTGCTATGCATGTTGCTAATATATTTCTCTTTTTTGCTACATATGCAATTACAGAACAAGGCCTTGCAATCACACATTAGGTGGGTCAGGTAACAAATTAAATGATGCAGATATGCTGTGAATTACTGCTGCCTAGCTTTAAGATGTTTCTAGAATTATTCCAAGCTTTGTAGCTGGCATATTGACAACTTCATTAAATTTTCTGTGCTAATTCATTTTGCCAAGTTATTTATTAGCTTTCCATTTTATTTATTAATTTTATTTTACCTTGCCTTGTAGTTTTGTTTTGTTTTATCAGGCCAGCTCTCTTGAAAGACAGAAGTGGAAGTTTTGGTAAGGTAAAACTGATGAGAGGTTTGAGCCTAACAGAACATCTGAGATCTTGAATATGCCAAGAGCAGCATGACTGCTAAAGCATCTAACAGTGTGTAGTCATTTATTTTAAACTATGTTTCATTTCTCTTCATACTGACACAGTGATTGCTATTTCTGTTACTCCAGTTCTAACCTGAAGATTTAACGTCTGCTTCTAATTTAAAAGCAGTGTTTCCCTACAGAAGCGATCCATGTTGTGCTGATTTGCCATGAATAATTCTGTGTATATGGTCGATGGTGATTCTGATGAGGAAATCCATACCCAGCGAGCTATTCAGGAAAGCTTACAAGACAGGCATAAATTTGAAAAAAGTGGCAGTGCAACAGGGGTTGAAAGGTAATAAGTTACAATTATTTCTATTTTGGGTGTTTTCTTGGCATTATTGTAAGCATTTAGCAGACCTTATTTTCCTTTGTAACTCTGTATGTTGTATTGTACTGACCTTGTCTCATGGATACTGGAAAGCACTTCTAGCTCACTTGTTCTGAGTTCTCCCTGAAAAAGTATACCTGTTTCCTGGAAAACATGGAATGTATGAAACTTTCAGGTGATGTTTTACATCAATATGTAAATGAGTACAAGGCTTTGTGAAGAAGATAAGTAGGTGATGTAAAAGTAGATTTGTATGGGAGCTTCCCCTCATTTTAGCATTTAATTGTTGGCCTTTGTATAAAAAATTCAGTATTTACAGTGTCAGGGAAAGACTAACAAAAAAAGTGTTTTAATGTGTTAAACCTTCACAAAACCAATGTAACTTAGAGAAATCTAACATATTGTCTAAATTAGAGTATTTAAAGTCAGGTATAATTATATCCTATATAATATATATCTATTATATTATAGCTTCACATGAATTTTTATTTGTAGTTTTATTCTTGTTCTGTTTCTGCAGTTTCCAGAATACTGCAAGTAAAGAACATGAACAGATCATTGCAGCAATTCGGACAGTTAAGTACAAATACGCCACACTAAGCCTACACCCCTGGGAATGGCTGAGCAATGCCTACGTTTTAGGGGTTTGATCACCTGATTTAAGTGCAGCTTTTCTTTATGTAGTCTTGGGAGAAGTAAAGGAAGTAAATACAAGACATTCAGTAGCTAACTTACTAGATAGGACCATGGAAGTGGGATGGGTTCAAGTGTCACCCCCTTCAGATATTCCAGTGCTTCATCTCCTAAAATTAGGGCAAAACTCCAGGCCTTTCTTTTAAAATGAGCAAGATACACTGGTGGGATAAATGGCACTCAATGTATTAGTTGCCTGAATGTTGTGTTACAATGAGTAATGGCATATGTGTCTGTGTTAAAATATCACAGGCCAAGAGGAGGCCTTGAAGAAGTTGGTGAGGCACAGTTCTGCTTTTGAAGAAGCAGATCAGCAAGGCTGGCTTCCTGTACATGAAGCTGCAGCACAGCTAAATAAAAACATCCTTGAAATAACTTTAAAAGGTACAAAGTCCTTCTAGTTTTTCACCAAAAAGTTTTATAAAGTAAAGTCTGATGAATCATCCAGCTTCAAATGTGTTCTGCTTTTCTGCATTTCAGCCTCCCGTGACATTACGTGGGAACAGTCCACTCTAAAAGGGGAAACACCTCTCTTGGTGGCAGTAAGAAGTTGTTTTGTGGACAATGTCCACTTTCTTCTGCTCAATGGCTGCAATCCCAATGTTAAAGATGAAGAGGGAGATTCTCCTTTAGTTATAGGTGAATACTGTTTATAGGGGTGGAGAGGTGAGGGAATGAGGTGAGGATATAGTTATACATTTTAGGTTTCAGTGTGACATATATGACTTCAATGCCTAAAATATTTTGCTATAAGCAGAAAAAAAAATATTAATCTCACCATTCAATGTGTCTGTCCCTGTCTATTCTTCTCAGATGATAATTAGCTTTCTCCAAGAAGTGCAGAGTGCCATCCTCTGCTTTCCTTGGCATCATTTCTGTAGTGCTGCCAGGCTGTGAGTCCTTCAGCTTCTTCATGCTATTACTGCCCTTCATGTCTGCAGGCATACAACATTAATATTCTCTGCCCACATGGTATCTCCTTCATTGCATCAGCCTTTCCTTCTCCAAAACCCATGGTCATTGATTTTAATTATCCAAAACAATAGCCAAGCAGTCTGGTTTATCTGCAGTATGTAGAGTGCAAAGCAGTGTTTGCCCCTATTTAGACACTGCCAGCATTAGTCCAAGGATGGCAAGTGAAGAAGACAGGCTGACATTCTCAGTTCACTTCTCTTTAGTACTTTGTAATTTAGGAATAAGGTCCCATACCTACCATAGTCCAAGTATAGTCTCATAGCTGCATTCTTTGTGAGAATGCCACTTTAATTTGATCATGCACAAGAACTGTAATTCATTATTTCTAATGAGATAATGATATAAAAAATATTTTGCCAAAATGCTTTTCAAAAGTGTTCTGTGTGCATTTCCTTTGCTTCCCTCAGTCTGGGCTATGATGTCTTCATTCTTACTGAATCCTACCCAAAAAAAGGAAAGTATCTTCACATTATTCAACTTCTAAATGAGCACTCTTAAGTTTTTTGGGTGATCCTGTCCATTTTTCTGTATTGGAAGAGTGGTTTCTTTTTCAAAACTGTTGTTAAAGGAGGAGAAAAAGGCCTACCAACCATCTGTAGGACCTTCAGTCCATCCTTGTAAAATGGCTGCAGCTTCAAGTCAGGGCCATCTGCTTAAAAAAATGTACAGAACTCCTAGATACTTTTGAAGGACATTAAAATGCATGGGATTTATCTAAAGCAGCTGTATAGGTTACAGATAATGGGACATCACAGTTTCTATCACAGAATGCTGTCACAGATGTTCAGGCAGCTGTGGCACATGAAGCTGCTCAGCCTCATCTGTCCTGCTGAAGGACACTCACTATCCTGCACAGCCTGGAAGATCAAAGACAGAAAGAGAGAAGGGTGTTGCCTAATCATTCCATCCACTGGAGCTAATGCAAATTTCTCTTTTAAGATCCTTGCTGACTTAAGAGTTCAGGCTTATTAAGCTAAGAAGGCATATGAAAGAGTCATTATAAGCTTTGTTTCACATTATGGTAACTGCTCATGGAGATTAGATAGAGCTCTGGTGGCAGCTCCTGAGCACCAAGGCCCTGGGTGTGGTCTCCACCTAGTGGCAAGGAAAGCTGTGTTCCGTTCCATTACCAAATGCAACAGAGAGAAAAAAAATCTACAGACAGAAAAAGAGATTACCATTGAATGATTTATTTGCATACTTAATGCTGTCCTGGAAGCAAAGAACACACTTGTTGATGAGTTAAACCTTTCAGTGTTGGGTGGCATTTCTCATTGCATAAATAGCACTGCCAGGAGCAGCTTTCCTGGGCTGCCACGTAACAGCAGCCATAGTGCACAGAACAGCATTGGATTGCAGCCCTGTCTGACGCTTTGATTGTTGTCCTACAGCAATTAAACGTGACTCCTATGACATTGCCTCCTTGTTGCTACGATCTGGTGCCAGAGTGAATTGGCGCTGTGTCCATGAGAGAACTGCTCTGCATGAGGCAGCCAGACTGGGCAGGAGGGATCTGGTACAGCTCCTCCTGGATTCTGGAGCAGATCCTGACCCCCGCAGTGGATATGGGCTCACACCTCTAGCACTGGCTGCACAGATGGGACATACAGAAATTATGGAGCTCTTACTGCAAAAAGGTGAGGCTTTATTATAAAGGACCTTTTAGGAAGAGAAGGCTTCAGATATGCCTTCAAAGACAGCAGCAGAAGTAGCTCACCTTATTAGAGAAAATTAAATGCCATCTGCACTAAAGGGGGTGGTGATGTAGTGAAGGCCTGAAAAATATCAATTTGTATAATATAATAATAATATATTAATATTTTAGTGAGTACTTATAATTGTTTTTTAAATGCTCTATTTATTTTCTCATGTAGACAGGTTACCCTAGGACATTCTTGATAAGATATTTACTGTGGGGAATTTTACATAATGGTTCAGCAGCACTGGAAGTGGATTGCATGAACTGTTTGCATGCTGGATACTCTCATGTTTACAGTTACACCTGCTTGGTCTTTGTAAAATAAATGAATTGAAATTAATTGTTTGTAAGCCAAAAGCAATTGTTTTGATGAATAAGAAGCAATACCTTTTGCTGGCACAGTTATAGGAATAATCCTTACTGTGCTCAAAGCAATTTGGACCTTCTTGTTCCCAGGATTACATAAACACATCTAAAAATCAAGGATACAACATGAAGATTTATGCCCATAGTGGTTCCAGTTGGTGGAGAATAGAATTCAAAATACCATGTCACTTGTGGGTTGGAGATATTAATTACAGCTGTGACTAGTGTGAAAACCCTTGCTGCTTCTTCCCAGGTGCAGATGTTCTTTCACAGGCAATGGACTGTGCTTCTATATTGTTTGAAGCAGCAGGAGGAGGAAATCCAGATTCTGTGAGTCTTTTACTAGAATATGGGGCTGATGCCAATGTACCAAAGCACTCAGGTCATTTGCCAATCCACAGAGCTGCATATAGAGGACACTTTCTGTGAGTTAATATACTTAAAAATCAAATAAGTGACACCAGAAATACTAATTTTACTAATTTTACCTTATTCAAAGCAGGGAGAAAAACTGTCGTTTTGTACAAATAATTATTTTTGACTGTGTAAATATGTCTGTTCTGTGTCTGAATGTAAGAGACCAGTCAGCATAAAATCTTCATGATTCTAGGATGTGCATCCTAATCCCTGTGGTATTTTCCCATTTGTCACAAGTAGTAACACTGTCTAGTCTGATGCTGAGGTTCTTGGGACATTGTCACTGTCTGGTTCAATGTCTAATCTCCACCCCATCACAGAAATGTGAATTGTGAATATACTAAATAGACAAAGAGTTGTTGAGAGTTAGGGTTATCCCTAAAGATATTTATGCTGAAATCACAACTAACAAATGAGAAACAAGCACCTGAGATTCTTAATTTCTGTATTAATATTTCTGTATATTAATTGTTATATTTAAACTTAGATGTATATATAACATTATAAATTACATGTATTCATGTTATAATACATATTCTATTAATTCCCTATAGGTTAAGCAATAACACTGTGCTTTCAACATTGAGGAAAAATTTCTATTGAGAAGGAATCATTAATTCCTATAGCAATGAATGGGTTGTTCATGAATAATAGCATAACATAATAATATTTTATGTGTAGTAGGTGTAGAGTCAGTATCCATTGCTGGCTAACAATTTCATTGTTAGCAATTCAAGTCAATGCATGCCATGGTACTGATTTAGTGTATTAAGATTATTCTAACAGTCATGATGAATTCTGAAGCCAAACAACCCAGAGAAATTCAAAGATGCGTTAGGTGAACCAAAATGTTTAAGATTCTGAGATGCTTCTATTTTTAATTTTTCAGAGCTCTAAAATATTTAGTTCCAGTGACTGATTTTGCTGCCATTAAAGAAAGTGGGATAAGTCCAGTTCACTCAGCAGCAGCAGGAGCACATCCTCAGTGCCTTGAGTTTCTCCTCCAGTCAGGTTTTGATGCCAATTTTATGCTGGCTCAGAGAGTTCGCAAAGGCTATGACGACCACCGGAAATCAGCCCTGTACTTCGCTGTTTCCAACGGGGACATCTGCTCCACACAGCTGCTGCTGAACGCCGGAGCCCTGACTAACCAAGATCCCATCAACTGCCTCCAAATAGCCTTGAGAATGGGTAACTACGAGTTAATGAATCTGCTGCTCCGCCATGGGGCCAACGTCAACTACTTCTGCCGTGTGAACACCACGCATTTCCCATCGGCTCTGCAGTACGCCCTCAAAGATGAGGTCATGCTGAGGATGCTGCTGAGCTACGGCTACGACGTGCACCGCTGCTTCGACTGCCCGTGGGGCAGCGGGGACCACTCCCAGTACGTGACCGACGGCTGGACCTCCACCGTTATCAAAGACACCATGGTACGTGCCACACGCCTTTGGCTGCTCTCCTGCTGCCACCGGCCTTCCTCAAACTAAACAGAAAGGGGCTTAATGCACTGCCAGAAAAAGGAGTTTTGAAGACTGTTTACACATAAAGAGAGGAATAGACAAGGCTTTAAAATTAAACAGGTGCTGTTATGAAGCCTAGTTAATGGAGGTAAATGATAGTGAACAGCAGTTTTAAATGGTGAAAATACAGCTGATGATATGCTAATGATCAGTATGGAGCTGGCCCTCCGGGGCAGTCTTGTCCATGCTGTGAAAGCAGAGATTTGCAGGCTGGCTCTCTGCATTGTCCTGTACTAGAATACCAAGACTGGAAGGCTGTTGAAAGGACCCCTGGAGCTGGTGGGATAAGCATGAGCAGAAATTAGCAAACCTAAAGAGATTCCTAGAGACGCTCATCAGTGTCATTGTTTTGCAGTTTGTAAAGTCCATTTTAACCTAATAAACCCTTCTTTAACCTATAGATAAGGGGGCGATGCATGCACTGGGCTGGTGGGTCCCCCTATTAAGCACCTGAGTGGTAACACTTCTTTTTAAGTACCAAGTCCCCAGATATACAGCTACTCAAGTTTATTTTTGGATCTAGTACAAAGTAACCATCTCTCAGATTTTTAGATTCTACTAGTGAGGCTTAGGCAAGCTGTGGCAACTTCTAAAACCCTGCTCAAGTAAGTTAATTGTTCTTGTCCTCAGAGACAGAAATAATTTACTGCAGTATTGAGTATTACCCAACTAAACATTTTGTTTCTATCAGTTCTGTGAAGTGATAACCTTGTCCTGGCTGAAGCACGTGTCTGGGAAAGTAGTGCGAATCATGTTGGATTACGTCGATCACGTTAAGATTTGCTGGAAGCTTGAAGCAGTTCTCAAAGAACAGGAACTCTGGCCAGACATCCACTTCATTTTAAGTAAGTATCTGTTTACATTTTTAATTAAAACAAACTGTTTTGGCATTGGGGCCTTTTTGGTTGGTAGCATTTTAGTTTTGCTTCTCCTTTCTAGCAAATCCTCGCTCTCTGAAGCACCTTTGCCGTCTGAAGATCCGGGCGTGCATGGGCCGGCTGCGTCTCCGCTGTCCTGTGTTCATGACCTTCCTACCCCTGCCGAACTGCTTGAAAGACTACATCCTGTACAAGGAATATGATCTTTATGGACAGGAAAACTTCACAGGGGTCTACAACCTCAACTGTGCATAAGATTAGTCCTGTACTTTGAAGGGAATTTAATGTGGATAAGACTGTTGTGCTTTTTTCTTTTGGGATTTTCTCTCCTCTGTATATTAAGGAATGCCAGCATTCTCCCCTCACCCCCTGAAGAAAATGGTGAGACCCCCAAAATGTAAGTATTGGTGATCTCATTCTAAGGATCTCCTGGACTATGACCTATCTGGAAGTTACGGCAACAGCATTTTAAATGCCTAGTGTGACAAGTTAAGAAGTGTAAAATACAGGGCTGTAAGCCTTGTGTTATGGCTAAGTTAGAGCCTGTTGTATCAGATACCACTACCCCCATTCCAGGGTTAAACTCAGGGTTTAGTTAAAGGTCAGGAATTGTACCAAGATCAGCAAGGGACGTAGTTTTCTCTTGTACTTCTTCCATTATCTTGCCAAGTAGTTTTTATTAGTTAAGTCCTACAGTGAAGTTCTGAAGAGTAGTGTAAGCAATTCTTTTCTTCACCCAACAAAGCAATCTTCCATTCTAGGCAATGAACTGGGATTAAGCTTGAGAAACCTCTGTTTATCACAGCAGGTCATGTGAAATACCAATGTTTCAACAAGCTGGCACTGCTGAAAGCTGTGTTAGTTTGCAGCTCCTTCTCAGGTACTGGTATGTCTCATCCACCATGAACTTGGACTATTCTCTCTAGAACTGGGTTTTCCTTACACCGTGCTGTCTAAAGCCATGCTTGCAATTTTTGGAGTTTCTCTCTATAGAGGTGGAGCTTAAACTTTTGGAGCCCTGTCATTTTAGGATGATTTACAGAAGTCTTAGAAAGACCTACAACATGTCTGTTACTTCTAAAAATACTGCAAATGTCAGTTCCTATTTTAGTAAAAAAGAAGTTCATCAACACATCTGGCATTAGTAGTATTTATTCCTTCATAATGAAGTAAGCATAGATTTTTTTCTAGTTATACATGCATCTTTATCACAGAAGTTACAGAATTCAAAAGTCTGCTTTTCCCCAGAAAAATCTACAAACTTTATAAAATACAAATTTAACCATAATGTTGTTATGGCCCATGGTTTTTTACATGGTGTTTATCCCATAATAAACCACCTCAGCCTGTGAAGATATGTCCAGTGCCCATGGTAGTGGTTGTGCTGCTGGAGCCTCTGCACTCAGCTTGTTCCACAGAGCCTCATGGCCCTGTCACTGCCCCACCATGGGCCCTGCCCAGCCAGCTGCCACAGCTCCTGCTCACCTTCAGTCTCTGATTGTTGCAAAAACAAGTTAAGAGCATTCCCAAGTGTAACAACTTCCTCTGAGGTTATCTGGCTAATACTATAAAAATTAAGAGAACTGAGCTACACTTGATAATGGAGGGCAATACCTGCATGTCAGAACTTTGTTTAATGGAAGGGAACACATCCTGTCACCAATAATGATATTTTCTGGAAGTCAGTGTGATGAAGAATGCAAGAGGCTTTTGCATCAGTACAAGTCCCACCCAGAAAGTTACTATAATTAAGCTTTTATTTAAAATATAAAATGCTGACTGGAGCCCTGGCACAATAGGGTTACTATCCATGTTTCCAAGATTAAGACACAACAATCAGAGTTGACATAAATATGCCATTGGTTGTTCTTAATACAGCTATTCAGGGAAAATGTGCAAGTCAGTCTCAAACACTGCAAAAATCACTTACACTTCACCAGAACAGGACCAATCTAGAACACCATCATAAGAATTTGACCACTCCACTCTATTATAAAAATGACCAGAAAGATTGTACAAAATCCTTGGCTTGCAATATAAACTTCATTAGGAATACAAGTGCATTCACAATGATACACTGACTTACTCTTGTCATGACAACTTAGATACCACTGTGGCAGGGAAAAACAAAGTCAACTTAGTGCTTAATTAAAACAAAAAGCCTTAGGGACTTATTAACTTGAAAGAATTTTTGTAATATTGAACAAGAGAAAGAATGTAAGTATCAGCTTTTGCTGTTATACTAGACAATATCTCTACTAAATTCACTAAGCAGTGGCAGTTTTCTTTCTATAGGTGAACTATTTCCTAAATAATAAGAGACTATATTGTAGCATAGTTTTCACCATTGGTTTGTCCCAAGTGCTGTGCAACTAATTAATCAGAATTTACCTTAAGCATAGACAGAATTTACCTTAAACAGTCAAATTTATTTCTTTATACCCATGTACATCAATTACAGCTTCATAAACAGCTTCAGCTGTTTCACAATTTTCACCTCTGGATTTACATACATATAATGAAAAAAAGTCTGACAGCCCTCTAGAAGGGGAATGTTTCTTAACTCTGAAATACAATTTACTGCCTAACAGTAATCTTGATACAATTTCAAACTCAAACAGATTAAAGAAGTAAAACTATGACATGCAACTGACTTTTCACTACCTGATCATCTCCAGTTAGATATGTTTAAGTAGTACATGACTTTGACCTTGTCCTCTGGTTCAGACTTGGCCAAATCTAGCAGTGGCCACAGAGGAGTGCCAGCTCTCATCTGTTATGCAATCAAATGCATACCCAAAAGCACACCTGATATATCTGTATATTCATGCCATTACATACATAAAGAATGTATGTAGCTTGAAACAGCTGACAGCAAGACTGGCTTGGTCTGCAGCATGTAAATCTACACATTGTAACAAGCTTCATATCCTCTTAAGGGATAAAAGTTTGGCAGTAATGATGAGGCTGCAGTTAACAACACGACAAGTTAGTCCTGAACAACACTGCCAATTCAGTACCTACATGAAGTCACTTCAAAATCATGGACTTGGAAAAATATTTTCAGGAGTGAGTGAAGTGAGAGTAGATGCACATGAAGCAAACTACAACTTCAGCTGAAAGTGCTTGAAAGATCAGTTTGTGAATAAAAGGCAAAAGAAAATAATAAACAGGAGAGTTTATTTAATCTCTTGTAAATTAGGAAATAAAACCATCTAGTAGTTTAGTTACAATAATAAAATACTCTGGTGGTGAAATCCTACTACAGCAGTTTCCAGCAGACTGTGAGGTGTTCCCTCTAAAAGTTATATACTCTCAAGGAAAATACCAAGCATTGTTCTGATTTTTTTCAACAAAGCTGTTTTGTAATGAAGTAGTTCTAAACTTTATAGGAAAAAAGGTACCAAACAGCTTTTCCTTTTGGGATGAAGGGCATGGATAAAACAGCAGCCGCTGTTTTTGCCTTGAGATGTTGTAATTACAACCTCTGTGATCCTCCCTAGGCAAAGCTCAGTAATTCTCACTCCCCCTGCAAACTCAATCACCGTTCCTGTCTGACTTCCCCAGCTCTGCTGACATGCCCTTTGCTCTTACAGCTTTCATCACTATCCCAGATGCTTTTATACCTTCTTGCTCATTTTACACTGGTGAAACTCCCCTAAATAAGCAAACAAACAATCCCTACATTTCATTTGTGCATATCAGTCTTTTAGTGGTTAAGATGAGAATCATCCAATATAAGTGAAATGTACTTCACTACTACTCTGTTTTAGAAAGCTACATTTAATGGCATATATGGAAAGCCTGAAAAGCAAAGGGAATAATTCCAATATTTACTGATAAATCCAAAAAATCCCATTTGACAGTAAATTCACCTGCCAACTTTATTAGCCTTTCTTCATCATCTTTGAAGATTTATATCTGTATGAGTAATGGCAGTTTTTGAGAGAAAAAACACAGTAATTCCATTTTCTGACATTTTTTCAATAAGGCTAACGCAAAACAGGCTGCACATCAGAAATGCTTTTTCATGAGAGTGCTTGTCTTTTATTTGCCCTCCCTCTGGAGCCTGGGCTACTGCAGCTCCAGTGCTTAACACAATCAGTCCTCCTCTGACAAGCTGAGGACTGGATTCTAGACACTGGAGATCACTGCTTTCATCAGCTCCCTGTGCTGTTTCCAAACTGCGTCATCCTCAATAAATACTTGAAAAAGATACAAGTAAGACACAGTAACCTTGAGCTACCCTGTGATATTATTTGATAGAAAACAAATATCAGTAAATAAAAACAAACAAACACAAACAAACATGAACTGGAATAATTTGCAGAGACAAACTGCCTTGCCACTCTCTGTAATCTTTGATTTAAGCACAGAAAAGGGAAAAAAATTGATTTGGTGCCTCTCTGTAATTTTTGTTGGCAAGAATAAAAATAGTCTCTTAAAAATGGGAGCTGAGAATGGAAGCTTAGATATGAAATAAAAATGCCACTGTCTTTTAAAAGAAATCTCAGGTTCTTTTCTTTTCAGGTGTGGTCCATGTGGCACTGTGCCAGCCAAGTCCAGCCACAGGGCTATGTGACCTAACTGAGCAACAGCAAAAGCAGATATTTCTACAAGTGACTGGCTACTCTGGGGATGAGAAACACACAACACGACCTGGTAACTAACTCAGGAAGAGAACCTGGTGGCTCTCTGCTCCTCAGCCTCCCCCCCTCCTTTTTCAAGGTGGAGGTGCAACTCAAACTGTGGTGCAGCCTCTGCCCAGCAGTGCTCCAGCTCCAGCTGCCTCTGCTCCTGCCCAGGACTGTGAGGGCAGGCACTGCTGCCCTTCTCTCCTGTCACAAGAGCCGAGGCCACCAACTCCTGCACACAAAGTCACATCACCAGCACCAAGGGCAGGACGAGGCTGCCAGCTTTGGCCAGTGCAGGGCACTGCTGTGAGTTAGAAGAGCCCTCTGTGCACCTACAGCCATCCAGCAGACACAACCTGAGATGCCTGACTCACTTTATCAGCACTGAGCAATGCCAGCTAGGAAGGGCTGGGCCACCACCAGCTGCTGTGGAGATACTCTGAAAATTGCTTCCATTCCTGAACACCAGAAATGCCCTGCAATGAACTGTAAATCACGCATAACTGTTATATTATAACTTGGAATATAAGTATATTCTTTTCTCTCTACATATCCTGTTATTTTCATGCCACTATTAGAGAGCTATCTTCTGTTCCTCTGGATTTTAATATTTATAGTAATTAGTGCAAAAATAAATATTTCTCTTCAAACAAGATTTCTCTTCTGGATCAAAAGGTGAATGCACATCTAATACTATACAAAATAAATATTACACAGGGTATGGAATATGGAGTGCAGATTACAAGCTGTAAACAGACACCACTTTGAAAAATGCTTTCCAGAACTGACTCTAGGATGTAGGATTACTGTCATCTCTTAATTCAGAAATGGCAAATTCTGTTTGCAAAATCATGAAAGGACTAAAGAGCCCCAACTCATTTTCAGTAGATGTAGTGTACTAGCAGCAAGGCATTTACATATGCAGAAGATGTGGTGCAATGTTTTCATGTGATGGAATTCAAGATGTTCCTGAAACTCTACGCATGTTTTATAAAAGTGAACTCAAAGGTTTACAGCTCTCTATTCCAAGTACTGGGGAAAAACCAAGAACATGGCACTTGTACTACAAGGCTATATACATTACTCTTATCATTTGATGAGGAATTCTTTTCCTCATGCAGCAAAGTTCAGCTGCATTTCATTAGCTCTTACCTAGGTCTGACAGTATCTTTTTCTCCTGCTGAAAAAAATTTTTTGGTGTTGTATTCACCAAAAATAAAAAAAAAATAAAATAAAAAGAAAAATCAAGACAGTATCATACTGTGCAAAATGAAACAAAAAAGAACCTTCTGTTCAGAACTATTGCACATCTCACTGATGTTAATTGGGATCCTTCTTTCTAAATCTAAGAACAGATATGTGCAACTGAGTAAAGCTTAGCACTGTCTTATTTGGACATCCACTTTTGTTTCCAGCAAGGTGTTCTCCATAGTGTAAATGGAGAAATGTAAAGAAAAAATTTCAGTGTTACTGCTGAAGGCCAATGAATTTTCAGTTTTGCTTCCAAAGCAGTCAATTGCACAGAGGTAAGTAGGGGAAAACCCCCATATTTTTTCTCATACTGCAGAGAAGCCTTGAGAAAACATATGTTTGCAATTAACATGGCAGCATCACCATGCTTCATCTGGAATACAAGAGAAATTATATTGACAGAAATGGAAATCACTTAACTGAGAAAGAAAAATCAAGGCATAATAGGGTCTATATATTGTGAAGTCTTTGCTATAACACGACAGATCCTCCACCTACATTTCACCTCTTGTCGAACTTGTGCCATTTCACCAGAAATATTCATGATTCTGACTTTAATGAAGCAGGCAATCTTAGGCTTCAGATTCTCTCTTCTTCTTTCCATCTTCTCCTAAATCACTGTCTTCTGACTGGCTGCTGCTAAGGACTACAAACTGTCCTTCTGTGCTGCTCTGGTTGGATCTGCTGGAGGCTGCTATCAACCGGCTCTGCTCCTCCAAGTCCTAAGTTGGGAAGGGGGGTTGGGAAATCAGAAAAAGAGTATTACCCTTAAAGCCATCTGCAATGGACACAGGATACCATTATTATGATTTCTAAATGATTTATCAATACTATCAGTGGACAGCTTTGGACAAAATGGCAAAAAAATGTAAGTAGAAAAAAACCTAATATTAAGAAATAACGATGAAAGGTACCTTCTCAATTTGCTTTTGTTTATTCAGTTCTTTTTGCTGTTTCTCTTTGACTCTGTCTATTTCTTTTTGCTTTTCTGAGGCTTTTCGATCCTACAGGGCAAAAACGTAAAGGAAGTCAGTAACAACAGCCTCAGGTGTTTGAGACACTACTGATTGATATGAGCTTGCTCAAAACTGTGACATCACTGTTTTAATTATTCTGCTTTTAAACGACTGGGATGGTTGTTAAAAGTCACAAAATTAATCCTATATTGAATATTGTCCTACAGTAGACACTGGTCGGTCTTTTCACATGAATTTAAATTCTAGGAAAAATATCCCTTAAAATACACATCAGCATTGCTGTATCTAGAAGCATCTTTCAGAATACAATCTATTTAATACACATATTAAATATACCACTTTCCTTCCATTCCCAAGCATCCTTTGCCCCAAAAAGATTCTTACCAGTTCTGCATGAAAAGCTATCTGTTTGGCCAGTCCAACAGAGTCACAAATCTAAACACAAAACAGATAGGAAATAATTAAAAATGCCTTTAAATTTAAGCCAGCATCCCAAATTAGATACAATAGCATGCTAAAGCATTTGCAGGCACTTAAAATGACAGGTTTAACTTTTTCAGTACATAAAACATGCCTTAGACAGCCTGAATGGATCTAGCATCTCTGAATCCTTATTCACAACTGATACAAGTCAAAACCATCACCAATACCTTTTCCCCTTCATTATTTGATTCAAATATATAGCAGATGGAAGTCTGGTAGCTCTCAACTCTCCCTCCTGAGGTTCTAAGCACAAATCCAAAGAGGCGCTTGTTCTCCTGGTGCGTAGCATACAGCACTACATTGGGCAAAGGAAACTGCCAAAAGGATCAGACATGGAGAGATTAAAACTGATTCCAAATATTTGCCAAATGAGGTTTCAATACCCTGCACATTAATTAATGCACAGCCACAGCACAAGAAGTTACTCGACCAAATGTAATTACGAAACACAAACAGATTATAGACAGGAAGGACTAAATTATCCAAAGACAAGCAAATGTCAAAAAACATGCCCCATGGAAGAAAAAGGGACCAGATTTGCAGTGTGTGTCAGTCACCTTCCTAAAAGTAGATACACTCCTGTTTTATTTTGTTTTAATCATTCATTATTGTTATATTGGTGACTAAACTTTCAATATTTAGTTCCATGTAAAGGCACTACTTCTCAAAAACCTTTACTGCAATTAACTCAACTCTCCTATTATATAAGCAAGGAAAAAAATCCCCAACCCATACAAATCACATGCCTTCATTAGTTTGTTACAAGAAAACTGTTTTGCATTCTTATTCCTACAAGAGGTTGGACTTCAAATTATCTTTTTAAGACTCATCAAACAATAAACTTAAAAATTCTGAGTCCCTACCACAGCTGCTACAAACTGGTGAGTTTTTCCTAGGATTAGATGTCTGCATTTAGCATATGGGACATACCCTCAGTTGATGCACCTCACCTGTAAAAGGTGACAGCTTTGGAGCATTTTTGAACTGAATGTCAAACTTTAAATATTTAAAGATATTTTTCCATGCTCAAGATCTTCTTTTCCTTATTTTTTTCCATTTTTTGAAAAGGAAAGCAATTCAGAGCCTCCAAAAAAATGGAATGCTTTTAAAAACAAAAAATAATTAAATGACCATAAATTGTGCATGGAAAGAGAAAAAGGAAATAGTTTTGAAATATGAAGAATAAAGACTGCTATTACTAAAGAATTAAGCTGAACTTATTTGATATCGTAACAAGAATTCCACTTACTCCTTTCAAGTGCATTTTTTATGAAGTAGAAAAACAAGAAGTCAAACCAGAAGCCATTCAACACCCTCAAGGCTATTATATATACTAAAAACAAAACCCCAAAACAAAGCAGAGAAACCAAACAGCAAACAAACCCTCTTGGACTTCAGAACTAATGTAACTCCATCATTAATGTTCTCTCTTTACTATTTTACCCTCTCAGATCACAGGGGGAAGGGAGTCTCAAAAGCCAATTTGACCTACTGAAATCACTCCCATGAATCTGATTTGCAAGTGTTTCTAAATGTCTGCACTATTAGTCTCCTAATAGCACTGGAAATTTGGTTGCAAGTCTCACGCTATTGGTGATTTTTGCTATCATCTAATAATAATATTTTTAAAGTAAAGGAATTACATTGCTGGGTATTTATCTTAAAATGGAAAGTTACTTACTCGTAGTCTTGTAACTTGTGTCTGTGGATCAATTAACCTAAAAATTTGTTTTTAAAGACAAACCAGAAAGTAAATTTTACCAAAGTGAAAGAAGATCATTCTGTAAATAAACATCAGTAGAAGTCAGGAATCAAACTTACTTTAAACAGTCACAAGTGACTAACAAGTGTGATTCCGTCATCCTGAAAACGTTATGGATGGCACGAGCTGCAAGTATTTGACGCATTGTTTCATAAACAACATCTGGGCTTTCATCAGACTTCACTTCCATAGAGCCAAGAAATCTTACAATAAATAACTGATGAAGAATTGAATCTAAGAAAAAAAAAATATTGAAAAAAAAACAAACTCCATTTTGGGATTCCCATTCAAAACCAAAGGTGGACTGCAGTCAGGAAAACTCCAAACTCCCCATAACTTGAAAAGAGATCGTTCCTACTTAGCAATTTGAGGTGCAGTTACTACACAGCACATCACACATCTTTTCATTTGGTTAATGAATACAAAAGATGCAATGAATCATTTTTACAGCAGATCTTCAGACAGTAGTTTGATTTAACTTGACCTGTAAAATACCTTGCAATGCAAT